CTTGCCAGCTACGCCTCGGCCGGCGCAGGGGGCGGAACCACGCATGCGTGGCGCTCCCGGGCAGGGAAAGTCCTCGACTTACGACCGGTTGGGTAGTCCTCGACTTACGACCGGTTTAGTCCTCGACTTACGACCGGTTTAGTCCTCGACTTACGACCGGTTGGGGTTGCGGCATTAAAAAGGTTGAGAACCACTGTGCTAGAAAGAGTTAAGAATTATTGAGGAAATAAGCAGACAAGTCATTTTTCAGACTAACAGATATATTTTCCCTTCTGATAATGGGTTAAAAACCAACAGTGGAAATTCCTTTGTGTTGCTTAACAAATATAGCTCCACAGTGCAAGAATGCATGCAAATAGTATCAAGGAATGTAACGGCCATCTGAAAGCGTTTTTATGATGAGTTTATATTCACTCCCAAATACTTGTTTTAATCTGTTGCAAATACCCAAAATATTTAGTCTTTATTGCAATTGATTTAGAGTTCTTTTGTTCTCTGCCTTGGGACTGGTTAGAATGGATCTGTTTCAAATTGGAAGTGATGAACGAAGGCTGAAGGCTACAGTTTCTGAGATTCTGACAAGCACAGATTTGGCTAAATCTCCTACCGCAGTTTTGAGGGATCCTTGGTGCTCTCTGGATTGCTTTCTGGCAGACATTTCATTACCCAAACTAGGTAACGTCAGCAGTACTAGAAAGGAATGGGGTTTGCTAGGATCTACTAGCAAATGATGCTGTTCCCTAATTTGGGTAACGAAACGTCTGCAAGGAAACGACCAAACTCAGAGAGCACCAAGGATCCCTCATATTTCAGCTCTGAGCTACAAATATTCTTATTGATGCTTGCTTCTCTTCAAAGCCTTACAGTTTAAATAGGGCTCAGGAAAGACTAAAAGGCCAAACCTAATGATTGAGGAGGGATCCACAAGTTTTTGTGATACGGAAAGGGATCAGAGAAGTCACATCGCTGCTTATGACTTTAAAATGAATGCCGCTGTTGCCGTAAATTAATTTTGAGAGGTCTCCGAATGAGAACATTGGTTTGGTAAGAGGGAGGCTGGTCTAGTCATGGAAAATAGATGGTGTGAAAACTGAAATAAAAGAAGTAAACTGTTCCTTGCTGTAGTAGGCCAAGAGATGCATTTTTTTTTCTTTGAAGTAATTTTTTTTGGGAGGGGATACTTTCATATTTTAAAGCATTCTAAAATTACAGAATCGACAGTTAACTCAGAATCTAGCTGTCAGACTTTGGGCCTGGCACCACTATCCATTTGCACCCTCCATTAAAGAAGCAATCTTGGTGCTAGATAGGTGGTTTTATTGCAGACAGAAAAAAAGTCATCTATCTGTCTATCTATCTATCTATCTATCTATCTATCTATCTATCTATCTATCATCTATCTATCTATCTATCTATCTATCTATCTATCTATCTATCTATCTATCAAAGAACAGCAAATCTGTCTGTGTCTGTCTGTCTGTCTGTCTGTCTGTCTGTCTGTCTGTCTGTCTGTCTATCTAATCTATCTATGTTCTTTTCCCAGCCTAGAATAGAATAGAATAGAATAGAACAGAACAGAACAGAACAGAACAGAACAGAACAGAATAGAATAGAGCTGGAAGGGACCTTGGAGGTCTTCTAGTCCAGCCCCCTGCTCAAGCAGGAGAACCTATACCGTCTCAGTCAGGTGAATATCCAGTCTCCTCTTAAAAATCTCTAGTGATGGAGTGCCCACAATTTCTGGAGGCAAGCTGTTCCACTGGTTGATTGTCCTCACTGTCAAGAAGTTTATCCTCAATTCCAGGTTGCTTCTCTCTTTGATCAGTTTCCAACCATTGTTTCTCCTCCTTCCTTCTGGTGCTTTGGTGAACAAGCTGGCCCCCTCTTCCTTGTGGCAGCCCCTCAGATACTGGAACACTGCTATCATGTCTCCGCTGTTTCTTCTTTTCTTTAGACTACTAGCCAAACCCAAGTCCCCTTGCCGTTCTTCGTATGTTTTAGTCTCCAGGTCCCTGATCATCTTGAGAATGGAGGGCACCTGCTAGGCAGCTACATAGGGGTTCCGTCTGGTTTGATCAATGCTGACACCTTCCTTGCCTGTTTCAGTTCTCATAGGTTCATGGATTGGGACAAGCCATCTCAGATGCAAAGGATATTGAAAAGGAGCAGTTGTCAGTTTTCCACATCTAACCTCTTTATTACAATTGTTTTACTGAACCCTTCTTTTATCTCCTTCAGTAGAACTTCAGATAGCTTTTGTGTAGGAGAATATAAAGGATAGTTCTAAGTAGAAACTTCTGCCATTACATTCTGGGTTTGGCTAAATCTGCTGGCTCTTGGCTTGGGTCTAAGAAAAACACAAAACCCATAATTGCCTAGCATACAAAAAAAAATCAGGCAATCTGTTGAGTTTTAAAATATTTTGTGAACTGCACAATCAGCTTAGTCCATCTCTCCTCCCAAATTACAAATGTTGTCAACTGACCTTTTCTCCTGAAAAATTAATTGTAGCAATTCTGTCCTTTGCATTTTGATCCTTTCCTATCCTTTGCATAATTAATATTGAGATAAATTATATGAATGCCCTTATAACAAATGCTGAAGTCTCTCTTTCTCTCTCTCTCCCTCCCTCCCTCTCCCCCCTGTGTGTGTGTGTGTGTGTGTGTGTGTGTGTATGAAACCGGGTAACCAAATACCTTTTCTTTACATCTCCAAATTACAAGGTTCATGAAAGAGAAAATAGCTTGTTTTTCAGATTTTTCCTTCCCTTCATTTTGTGTGTGAAATAAGAACAGGACATTTTCTTTTCTTCACACATTTAGAAAAAGAAGAATCCATTTTTTCTGCAAGTTAAGCTGTTTAAGCATTTTGCATATTTATGACTTGAAAGGCCAGTTAATGTTATGACTTTACAACTTGGCAATACTTGGTATAAGGATGCATCAAAGAAATGATAATTAAAACACAAATGCATTGGAAAGAAAAAAAAAGATTTAAAAGGGAAGGCAAAGTAGTGTGCCAGAAGTGCTATTACACACTTTGAGCAAAGGATGCTGCAGGGAAAAAAATCTGCATATGGAACATAAAGAAACTAGCATATGTGCCAAATGGACTTCAAATATTGTCCTTGCCCACTGATCAGTTTCTCAAATAGCAAGCAAAGCGGTGGGATTGTAAAAGATAATTCTTTTCAGAAAAGAATATTCAAATTAGCTCATTTAGGAGCTACTGCCTATTGTAAGCCGGTTCTCCCCAACAAGCTCCATCAGGTAAATTAAGACACAACTTCTATGTGGGTCTAGGACAATTTGCGTTGGCCAACTCACTGTGGCCAACTCACTAAGAGCTACACTAATATCGAAGAAATGGTGGAATAGAATCATTAAAGGAAGGATGCAAAATGAAATGTGAACAACAAAAATTAAAATATTGTTTTAATTATTTTAAATAATTACACTGAATTGTTGAGTTGTCCCGTGGCAGATTGGCCATGGCGAGTTGGCTGCAGCTAGTTGTCCCATTCTGCTTCTGTGGCGCCTAGGAATTGTAAGAGTTTCAGTCCCATTATATCTGGACAATGCCAGGTTGGAGAAAGCTGTGATCAATTATAATTAAACAAGTTCCTTGATTTCAAATAAGCCATGTGATGGCCTTCCCAAAATTGCTTTGAGTTTACTTGTCATGGTTCCTATAGATAAGACCATTTAAAATAACTTCAAGGCAAGACTTTCTTCCTTAAAGAATCTTTTTTATTTGGCTACAACATAATGGCACGTACAAAGGTGAACCCAAGACTGAATTCGCCTCCCCTAGGTTACGAAGTTGCAAGTTACATTCCCCACCCCAAATTGTTGTCATAAATCACATTCACCAATTGTTAGAAAACATGGGCACTCCTCCCAGCTGCTCCAGTCCACCAAGTGTTATCAGCAATGACCTTGGTTCCCATGTGAATTGATTTGGCTAACTGAGAACTACATCCCTTCCTCCTCCTTCTAACTAAATATGTGGCAACAAAGATAAATGAAAATGGCTTCAATTCGGTTTGTCACTGCGTTGACATTACTTTAACAGTAGCAAGTCAAGATAACTAGGATGCCTTGACTTGGTGTGGGTAAATCTTAAAGCAGCAGATTGTGGCTTGAAGCATTGAACACAGTGTTGACAGGTGCAAATAAAATCCAAATTTTCTGTGGTGAAACCCCATACTTTTTAAGTAACTTCTTTAAAACTCAGCAATGGACGCTGATTAATTTCTTAATAATATACACTAACATCTTCGTTTTCTTCTCCACATTAATCCAATGAATGTTTTCACGATTACGTATGTGGCTATACTGTTTAGCTGTCTGAAATATCTGTAGTTATCCATTTAACAGAGCTTTCCCTATGTGGTTGTTGGATATATCCGTTTATATATAAACATCAATTAATTTAAATAGACTGTGTATGTAAATATTTTCTGCATCAAAACTTACTGGCTATACTCTCTCTCTCCTCTCCCTCCCTCTCCCTCTCCCNCCCTCCCTCCCTCCCTCCCTCCCTCCCCCCCCCTCTCTCTCATAATTCTAAAGAATTAGTTCTAATTCTTTAGAATTATGATAAATGTGGACAATGGTATACCAATTATGCAGTTGGGAATTCAGTGAGCTTAAAATCATTTGAGCTTCATTGCTAAACAGGAAGTCTCTGAAACTGAATTGCAGAAGTTACTGAATGATTTGTTGTTTCAGGAATGAATAATACTTTAAAAGATCCTCCAGGACACAGAGAAATGTCCCTTTATGCTTAAAACTATGTCATACAAACAAAATTAGCATTTTACAGAGATCCTGCAACATGTAAATGCAGTAAGAGACATGTGGCAGGCATACAGATAGTTTTCTAGATTCGACAGAGTTAGCAATCTATTTATATATCAGTAGCTAAGTTATAAAATATTCTTGTGGCTGTAAGAATGTTTCGTGGGTTCGGTAGTATTGGAATAAAGAAAAGAAAGAGGAAATTGCCCTTGTTTTGTTAAGTAATTCTTTTTCTTCACTATCATGCAGCAATTATAGGGGTGTGTAATGTGTCTTTTTCTGTGGAGTTGCAATCTGACATAAAGTAATGGCATGCAAACAGTCCTGCTTCATCAACTCAGTTGATGTTATGACAGGCACAGACTTCCACTAATAGTTAGGACTGCAGAAAAAAACCATTGCAACTAGCCTGCCTTCCATTGAGGATCTGTATACTGCAAGGGTCAGAAAGAGGGCTGAGAAAATATTTACAGACCCCTCACATCCTGGACATAAACTGTTTGAACTCCTTCCCTCAGAATGCTGGGCATTGTAGGGCATTGCATACCAAAGCAACTAGACTCAAAGACCGTTTTTTTTCTTGTGCCACGACGAATTACCACAGCATTGTCTTGTGTCTAAGAATATTTCCCCACATACTGTAGCTGTATTACTATATCATCTTTCTCATCTGTTCCTCTACATTCTCCTATTGGTATCCTATGTTTATATTATTTTGTTGTTGTATGTTGACTGACAGCTTATGCACCGGGGACAAATTCCTTGTGTGTCCAATCACCCTTGGGCAATAAAGAATATTCTATTCTAATATTCTAAGATATAATATCTGTAATTTTGCTTTTATAGGATTTGGTCAATACTGGAATCTGCACTTTCTTCTTCTTGATTGCGTCGATAGTACTTGCAGCTTTAAACCATAAAAAAGGTGCAGAAATTGCAGCGGTGGTAAGAAAACATTGATTCGTTTTCATTCCCTTGTTGAAAAGATGAAATATTTGTCTCTTCTCTCAATACACTTTCGACAGCAAACTGCCATCCAGATTAATTTATGCTGGGTCTCCTGCTTGAGCAGGGTGTTGGACTAGAAGACCATCAAGGTCCCTTCCAACTCTATTCTGATTGATGGATTGCTGTTTAGAATTTCAGTTCAGGGTGTTTTAATAGTAACCTCTCTCTTGTCATATAGCATTCAGCCTAAAGATAGCCAATTTTGTTTGAAGTCAAAGCCTCAAGAAGCAAAATGGCTTGTCTTTATGTTGGCTGTTACAATTGTGTCAATGCCGATATATTTGACTGTTTTAGATTATTGATATATATATATAAACGATCCATCTCATTTGGCTTTATTTTAAACATACAGCTTAATGACAAAAGATCTTTTAAACTGCCCTAAAGTGAAAATCATGGCAAGCTTTTTTCTGATTAGATCAGGGGTTTGCAGCCTTGTGTGTGGGCGTGTGCACGTGTGTGTGTGTAAGACTGCACTTTGCCTTTGAGTGATACGCCAGATACCACACTGTTTAAAGTTAATAATCACTTTCCATGTATTTAATCATTGTTCCTTTGTGGTACATATTAAAGCAACAATCCTTCAAGGGGTTTCAGGAAGGGGCTGCAAACCAACACTTTATTAAACCCTCACGTGTCACTGGATTCACAAATGGTATATTGGTACTTTAGTTAATGAGAAATTCTGTTTCCCAAAAGAATTTTGCAGTGTTATGGTATAAGCTAATCTTGGCTTCTTTCAGAATTACAATTCCATAATTTTTGCCTGCAGAATTCTGGGATTTGTATCTTAAAAATGTAGAGGACATGAAAACTTTAATGGAAAATAAATAATCCATGTCATCATATGTTTAAGTTACTTAAGGTTGTTTTTTTAAATGGAATTGAGTTTTAGCTCAAAAACCACATGGATGGATAAATGGCTACCCTGCAGGATTACTTGAAAATGTTTGGAATATGTGGATGCTATATTTTCACATGCCTGTTGATTTCCTATTAAAGACACCAATAGGGTAAAACAAAAATGCCCCAAATATACAATTAAGTATTCACTCAACTGAAAGTGCAGATTTATTATCTCTGGTTTGTATTCCAAGGAGTTTTATGAAGCATTATCTGTGTGATAAAATTATAATTTGTCTTTCAAACAGGACACCAGTATTAAAGACACTAAAAGGCAGCTGCTTATTTATCTGAATACAGGAACAGCACACACATAATTCATATTTTGTTAAGTGTTACCTGCTATTTCTTCAAACAATTGTTCTCTTTCTCTTTTTTTTTTAGATATTTGGTTTTTTGGCAACCGTAGCCTATGCTGTGAATTCATTTTTAGCAGTTAAAAATTGGAGAAACACCAATAGACAGCAAAACACGCGACAGACCAGTGATTATATACGTGCTCGGACAGAATCCAGAGAAGTAGATAACCGTCCAGAGATTCAACGTCTGGATGGGTGAAAAACGGGAATTTGCTGAAAAAGATTTTTTAAAAAGCCCGTGGACATTTTTTTTAAAAGAAAAGAAGATGATGATGAGAGTTTTTTACAGGCAATAAAGGAGAATGTGATGGCCAAGAGCATGTACAAAGAGAAGAAGGTGGATTAAGAAGCAATTATATGAAAGCCTATAATGACAATTGCATATATATTTTTTTGCCCATAAATAATGGAGAATGGGAATACAACAGAGTGGAGAAAGTGATGCCTATTTCTAACATCCAGACAAGTAGAATTAATGCTAGCAATAGATTGTATTTTTTGAAACATAATTTTGATGTTCGACATCATGCACTGAGATGAAAGATAGCAAGAATATAAATTGGGTATTGGATTATGAAACTGTTACGTACATTTTCCAACAGGTTTGCTAGGTTACTTTTTGATCTCGCACTCCTACAGTTTCGTTGTGTCTCTGCAACAAGGAGCTGGCTATATTAGACTTTTAGCTGGTGGATCAGCTAATATTCACTAACGATTTTGACTACAAAGAAAACACCAAGCGCACTCCATTTGTGGTTACAATTTAGGTACGACCTGATATTCAATTCTATCGTCTGCTACATTCATTCCCTTTTTTTTACTTCGAAAGAATCACAAAGTAGACATTGCGGTTGTTTGTCTAAATGTGCAGACAGTGATACTTTTCGCCCCCCTCCCCTTTTACGTTCAGCTACAGGAAAATCTTATTGTGGTCAGGGTTCAAGAACATTTGTTTCGTGTCCACGGATTGCTATGTTTCTAAAATGATATAATGCCCTGAGAACTTAATTGGTTTGGCTGCTAATTTTTAATGGTCCAAATTTGGGAGAAATATATTTCTAAGTTAAGCTGTTATTGTAATGAGATGTGGGGAAAACTTTGGGAGACAGAGTGAACAGCTGCTTTCCAGGGAGCGGTCAGATAAGAGATAGCAGAGTTGGAAGCTGGTTAATGGATGGTCAAGAAGCTCAGAAGAGACCCACCCTGGATCTGTTAGATTCTGTTAAAAATAGAATTAGAATCTGGTTGTGATTCCTGTCTGGTCGCTGGTAAGGCACTTAAACGATAACTTTCCGGGTGTCAGATCAGGCATGTTTGAAGTATGTCTTATTTTGGTCAGTGAACATAGCCAGTTATATGCTTTGTTTAATTTATATGCCATTCATACAATATAGTGACCTACCATCCTGTGGGACAACATGGTTGACAGCCATTTCACTTTGATCTGCTGATTGTTCTTAAATCGGTTCATCAACCGATTATGTGAACTCTTGCTATCACAAACCGTGCGCTTCAGTCTTGCTCATACAAATCAGCTCTTCCCAATTCATCATCTTTGCATTTACAACTTCACTTTTTATTTTTATTTTTTTGGCTCAGTAACTAACAGTACCAGGGTCAACATAGTCATCACTGTTAACAACTTCCATTTGGCAGTGAATTTTTGTTGTGGGACTCCATGGGCAGTCAAAAATTCAATCAGTACGAACTCCCACTGCAAGGTTCCATTTCACAAACAATAGCAAGACAATTTTTTTCTCTCTCTCCGTAATTTTCTACCAATTGAAGTGGAAAAACAGATGGTAAACAATATGTTTATAATATGCAGGCAGTAACATATACTGCTGAAGGCATTACTTTTCATTCAAGACTTGTAATTTAAGTAGAAACCCACCCTCCGTAAGATGCGTTGCAGCTGTGATTGGGAATATGAATATTGTATACTACAATAACAAATTTGGGGAAGAAGTAATGTTTGGTATATCCTAGTGTAGTAGTTATTATTTTATATTTCCATGGGATCAGCCATTCAACTAAATGGTCGGTGTTAGCACTGCATTAGGAATGTACACAAGCAACATAATCTCATTGGTTTTCTAAAGCTCCTGATGACTAAACACATTAATATATCACATTTTGGATGAATGTTGGAAATTATTTACCTAGCCTAAAGTCCCTCTGGTAATATCAAGTAATGTTTATAAAAATATGATTAAAGTAATGTTCTGGAAGGATGGCTATATACTCTTTAGCAATGACTAGGACTTGGTTGGCTCTTTTCCATTTGAAGAATGCGTGGTTTTTAGCTAGGAAAAAAAATGATTTGCATAGTACTCTTTTAAATGAGACATTCTATTTTTATGAGACAGAACATTGCATTTTCGGTGTTAATTTCCTATGCTTTTCATGGAAAAAGGTGCTCCGTGTATTTTAACGTCTGTGGTCAGGTTTTATTTTGTAGTTAATTGTGAAGAGGTAAGGACCCAATAGAACATCTAGATCGTTATAACTGCGGCTTGCGGTATTTAGCTCAGGCTTGTCTTTACAGCCATGCTAATAACCCATAGATGAAAACTAAGAAGCTGAAGTGAAATCTATTCCTATCCCTCCTCTTGACAGCTGTGATTGATTTTGGAAAAATCAGTTCGCTTTCTGTAGTTAATTTAATTCAGATGGCTCCTGAGTCCCAGAAATAAACAGATGGAGAGGAATAATGTTTAAAAAAACCACTATTTGTAACATTTCTAACAAACTAATGTTTTGATGTTGGTCTTGCCTTATTTACAATATTGATTTGATACTAGAAGGAGTGCAAACAAAAACAGAACCCCTGTGTCTGGTTTCCCTTGACTAGAAAATGATTTCCCTTATTAATCCGTTTGGCCCTATGCATAAGATATGAGTGGGCCGTTCTGCCACCAAATCATTCATTTTTCTTAAGGTCCAGTCGCTTCTAAAAGTCTTCTCTCCACATTGAGGACCATTTGGATGCACTGAGAACAATTCCACAACGTTCAGCAAGCATGGTCAAGACCACACGGTGGGTAGGGAAAGTTGGTGTAGCTACTTGAGTGAATTTTGCTGTTGCTTAATTTGGGATAAAATCAGATAAAAGCATCTACAGTAAGAGGGCGAAATGTCTATGAAGATTCTCAGTCATCACATTTTGCTTCTTCTCCAAGACGCTTCCACAGTTCTATTAGTTCAATCCTTTCTGTCAGTTCAATCCTTCTGTTCCACACCATTCAGTCAGAACCGAAGAAGCTTCTTGGAAGAGAAGCGAAATGTTTCAAGGAAAAAAAATCAAGAAAGTCCAGTTGCTTTTTGAAAATCAACTTTTGGGATATCTAAGACGGCATTGTGAGTTCTAGCTTATTTCTGGCTATCAAGAAGTCTTTTGTGGTAGTGTATAAGAACCCTAAGTAAAAATACTTCAAACAGAGCCTGCTTAGAGGTGGAATAACTCAGACTGTACATCTTTTACAGTATTGTACATTATGCATTATCTCTGTCCACTGTTCATATTTGGGACTGGAATATATATATTTATGGGTGCTCCTGGACCTCTATGCATTGTTGTTAGAGCACTTTGAGATGAAAAGGAATAACTTGTGTTAGGAAGCGAGCATCTTAATTCGGACACCTGTTTTAGTGACTCTGCTAATCCCATACATTAATCAACCTAGAATAAAAGATGCACTTAAGTTGTCTTATGTGGATACTTCTCTTCTGCATTATTGTGGACGGGACCTATTTGTATATATTGAGGTTTATGAAATGGAGATATAATACGATAATGAGATAGTAAACTGTATATTTATTGTTCATTTGTATTGTCCCAGTTTTGGCTAGGGGTGCCTTTGTACGAATCTCATTTGTGTGTGAATGGCATCAACCCTTCTCAGAGATCCTTGCTTACAAACGCTATTTTTATAATCACAAATTGCTAAACACACTTTTATTTCGAGTTCTGCTGAACACCAGCCTTAATGGATTCCTCAGCCTTTTTTAAAAGCCTCTGCTTTCCTGGCAGAAGTTGAAAAATACATTGCATTACTATGGGCAAACTCTAATGTGTTTAACATGCAGTGTAAGCCTTTTGGTACGTGTAGAGAATGTGTATAAAAATATGGATTTTGGTTGACAGGGACCAAGTTGAAACAAGTAGCACAGATGGAGTTGTCAATTCCTGGGGTAGCCCAAGTGCTGTTATGAAACGAGGGGCACCACTAGCTAAAGAGAGAATCTTTTCCTTAATTTAAAATGCTTTCAAATATATACCAAGTTGCACTTGATTTTTTGGGGAGGATTCTTTTGTTTCAATACTCACTCACTCCAAGGCACTGGCACTGTGTTTTTTTTCAAAAATCAAACTTTGTGACCAAAAATATTACCTAGGTAAGATTTTCAATGAGCGAATACTTTGGTTAAAGACAATGACTTCAATTTGATCTTTTCCTTCTGGGGTTAAACTGTATTTAAAGTATCATGTCTAAAGTTGTTAGATATTATGAAATGAACATTCCTACTAAGAAAGAATTAGAAAAGCTTGATTATATAGCATGAATATATTATTGAAGTATAGTCCCATGGACTTAATTTTTTTTTTTTAAAAACCAACTATTTCAAACGTATGCTTACAGTTACCATACTAGCAGTTTGTAAAAAAAAAATTGCAAGAAATTGTTTAATGCTGTGGATTTAAGTTACGGTAAATATAATTAGATCTAAAGTTGAATATGGTTTCAGTTACAAACCTGGTGCTGGTGAGCTGAATCAGCTTTTTAAACCAAGGACTTCCAGTGTGGCTTACATTGTATCAGATAGAATGGGTTGTTTTCAAAGTTTTATCTTGCAGAAAATCACATCATCTGTTCAGAAAGAAAATCTACTTTCAAGATCATGTGGCCAGCACGTAATTTTCCATCTGCATCCTTTGCTTTGCTGTCTAGATTGGCATCCCATGCTGAGCACTGCAGTTTGGGAAACATTTTCCAATACGGTCAACGGAGACCTGATCCGAATATCATTTCAGTGGCCTGGGACTACATTGTTTGACCAACAGAAGGTTGCGTACCTTCTGTTACTACAAATGGTTCAGAAACTGCTATTAGGCAGCTTCAAGAATACATGAATAAACCTGGTGATCTTGCATCTGCATACTCTAAATATTGATAATTGGATTGGCCAATTCAGGAATTTGCTAGTTCTAATTTAGAACATAGCAACATCAGCATAGTAAATGTGGGTGGAAAACAGTGCCGTCTGTAGTAACTCATTAGTTCAGTGTTTATCAACTTCAGCAACTTCAAGCTGGCTGAGGGACTCTGGGAGTTGAAGTCCACACATCTTAAAAGTTGCTGAGGTTGAAAAACAGTCTTTGTCATTCCAGAGCAAAAGTTAACCATATTCCACAAAGTTCCTGGGGTTTCAGACAATCTGTACGGCCTTTTGCTTTAGTACGAGGAAAAAACACTCCCGAGTGCAGAAAAAGTTTTTCCCTGCATAAAAATATTCTGACATTCCATACGAGGATTTCTATCTGTTGTGTGAATAAGATGTTTAACCATTCCAAAGTTTCATGAAGACAAATAGCATTGATATGCCATGCACTTTTAATTTCCAATATTATTCTACATCTATAAACTTCAGGATGAAGGATTGTAATGATTTTTACTTAACTGAAGGCAATCACCAAATTGCTGCTTGGTCAGTTCTTGTTTTTAAATTTATTCCTATGTGGTGTATTTTATCAGTTTTTGCTTTGTATATTGGCATGGTTTATTCTGGGTAATGTAAAATTTAATATGAGTATCTTTCTGCCTTTTGATTTATACTATTTTTAACCTTTTTTTGGGGGGGATACACCAGAATATCAGATTCTATAAAATTCTCATGGTATTTGCCTACTTTCATTGTGTGTTTTTTAAAAACCTGTATTTTTGTATGTAGGAAAAAATCATAAGCTTTCTGAGTACTAATCTCATATGGAATCATTGTAAAGGATTTAATAAATGGGTAGGAATAAAAGTCTTCACTTGTTGACTGTTTGTGCCTTGGGTAAACTCCCAATTGTTTAATTCCATCTAGTAAACCTGTCAGGCTTGTCAGATGTTATATTTTTCCTATCCTGCTCTATGGAGTAGAGACTTGGTCTCTGACAGAAGGCCACCTGAAGAGACTAGAAGCATTTGAAATGTGGATTTACAGGCGGCTGTTACGTATAAGCTGGGTTGACAAGATCAGAAATGAGGAGGTGATAAGCCGCCTGGGAAAGCCAAGGGAAATCATCAAAACAATTAAAAAACGAAAATTAGAATATTTCGGACATGTGATACGACACCCAGAAAAATACAGCATACTCCATTTAATCTTCCAGGGAAAGATCGAAGGCAAGCGAGGTCCAGGCAGAAGAACATCATGGCTTCAAAATCTAAGGGACTGATTTGGACAAAACTCAGCAGCACTTTTTCATGCAGCTGCTGATAAAAACAGGATTGCCAACATGATCGCCAACGTCCGATAACGATATGACAACAAGAAGAAGAAAACCTGTTCGATATTTCTAAGGAGAGTTTGAATTTGTTTGAATTTCTTTGGGAAACCAAGCATTAATTGGCCAAAGAATCTTAATATACTTGACTGTATATGTTCAGATAACCAGGAAAAGCTCTTATACTACAGGTAGTCCTTGACTTACAACCATAATGAAACCTGCACATTATAGTTGTGAGAACGGGTCACCAAGAGCGACCTGATTTTATGATTTTTTTGTGGTTAATCTAGTCCTACTCTTGTCTACGGAGTGCTTTAGCTGAAAACCAGAAGTAAAAGCCAGATTCAGCAAAAATGTAAACTGCGATTTTATCATGATAAATGCAGGCCAATTGCCAAGCACCTGAAAGGATGACTGTGGGGAGTGTGTGTGTCCATTGTAACTATGGAACTGGGTCATAAGTATCTTTTAGGGGCTCCGTCATAAGTCAAGGATTACCTGCCTTGATCAATGGATCTTGATTTTCAAGGTTAAGAGGAGTGTCTTCTGATTGAATCCCTCAGCTCTAACGTATAATTGTTTAACTCTCATGCAACCCTTACTACTGTTAGCAACTTCTCTCTAATATGATTTTTTTTTTAAAAAACAAAAACTTAAGCCATTACTTTGCCAAATATGGACACCCATCAAATTTCCCTTGATGCGAATACCTTGCGGATTCAATTGCACAGTAAGTAAATGACTTGAGGCAAAAGTACCTTTTTTTAATAAAATACACTTACAGTAAAAACAGGCTAACATAGTATCAAAAGATTACAAAATTCAGATAGCATAAGATTCACATAATCAAATCATTAACCCATTTCTCAATCACTTTATAAGCAGCATGTACAGTATGTCTAAACGGTGGGATTCAAATATGTGAACAACCGGTTTTCTGTGTGGATGCCGCTTCCGGAAGTCCATTCTGGGCCTGGGCAACAAAAAATTAGCTACCGGTTCTGCCGAACTGGTGCAAACTGGCTGAATCCCACCACTGTGTCTGAATCATGCAAGTAAATACAATGGAACTGAGCTGCTCATTTTGTATACTGTAACTGAAGTGGCTTCTGGATACCTTTATTTTTATGCTGTTTCTGATTTGTTATTTTAGGCATAACCTGAGATTACCCTAATCTTAAATCAAGCATTCGTATCAGTGTACAAATTCTGGAATTAAATTTGTACAGGTAAAATTATATTCCAGAGATGTTATTTAAGAAACAGACAAGTAAATTAAGACTTAATAGCCTTCGTTTTTATGATTCTGTTAGTATTGATTTTCACAGGTACATTACTGCTTCATGCCAGCCAGTGAAACACTACATACCCTTTTTCTTTCCATTTCTGCAAAGTTCCAATTTTATAATCAAATGATAGTTCTTGGAGATTGTTTTTGATCAGCTGATCAAAAATACTTGTCTTCTGCAACTTTGCATATTATTCAGGTTTTGAATCCCGTTGTGACTAAGGCATTTGAATTATAGACCAAAATGGGTCTGAAATCTGTAATGCAAAGATTATTTTGAACAAGGCCTGAATTGTTTCCCTGAATGAGATTAATATAAAAGTTATTAACGTAACCAAGAATAGGCCATTATGATTGTTCTCACATCTAAAATACCCAGATCTTTCCAGTTAGTGCAGATATTTAAATAATATGAAAGCTAGTGAACACCTTAAAATGAAATATTGCCATAGATTTACTCCACCTACAGTTCCAAAATGTGTTCCTTGTTCCATTTGACCACACTAGGTTACCGTCAATTGGGGAAAAAAATATCACAGATTAAACCACATGCAAATGACTATATAAAAAGAAGCAAAGACAGTAAAATGATCCTCAGGGGAATTCCAGAGAAGCATATACGGAACTGTTATGTTAACCCAGTTCAGAAGCCAGCCTGCTGGGTCTTCTTTTATTTTTAGGACCCGCCTGCGGGATTTATCAAAAGTCATGTTTGCTTTGTCTTGATAACTGAACCTAACTACAAAACTAATACAAATTGGTACTAAGCATATTAAATATGGCGTAATGATATATTGCATCATAGTTTCCTTCATTATTAGTCCTTGTTGGGTTATCACTATTTGGACTGGCAACTCTTACTAAGCAATTGCAGTTGTTAAGGGAGACAATGTGTGACTAAAACAGACTTGCGTGCCCTCACTTCTGCTGTGGTTATTGAGTCACCCCAAGTCATTAAGCGAGACGTCAAGTGGCTACGACTTGGATTTTTACTGGCAGCTTCCCCATGGACTCTTGTTTGTCAGAAGCTGGTTGTGAAGGGCACAAATGATTATGTTGACTGCAGGACAGTGTGATGCTCATAAACACCTGCTGGTTGCAAAGCACGCAAATGGCAATCACAAAACTGCAGGGATGCTGCAACAGTTGTGAAGGTACTTTTTCAGCACTGTCATAACTTAGAGCAGTTGCTAAACAGGGCAGTTGTTAGATATGGAATACCAACTGCTGGTATATGGGAGGGAAAAAAACCCCAGAAGGAGCATGAATGTCTTGTTCACACACTACCCTTAAGATTCTTTTTGGTAATTTCTAGTTTTGGATCAAGAGAACATGTCCATCTAAAAAAAAAAAAGACCACTGGGTCTTGCATAGTTTTCTATAGCTCATCACTCAAAATTACTGGTGGAGCTATCAGTCAATCAAATCAAATCTTGGTTATAGTCATAGGCCAGAATACAAGCAATAATTTATAAAGTTAAAACATTAAAAAAACTAAATAATATATATACATTATTTTTAGTCTTTATTTTTTTAAACTGTGTAATCTTCCCCCCTATCTATCAAATTATTGTTCATATTTCACCCTTCTTATGCTGGTATATGACTGTAATAAAGATTTGATTGGCTGGAGTGGCAATCAGTGTGAGCACCTTCATGTATCTTCCTTGAGGAATGATGTGTTAAAAAGGGGCTTGGTACGTCTAGGCATGTAATTACTGAATATCTGACATGATTTTAAGGAAGCATCTTACTTTGGCTTTATTCATGAGGGATTTAAACATATTTCCATTATTGCTGAATTTGTCCTGAGTTTAAATTTGATCTAAGTTTTAAAATTGACAATAAAGCCCCCTTCTAACAAATAAGCAAGCTATTGTCTTCTGAACTCAAGAACAAAAACCTTGGAATAAGTAGAAAACTTTTTTTTTTTAAAAAAAAGAGCTAATAAAGTTCGTAAACTTGATCAGGATGTCTACTTACTACTAAAGAAAGTCCATGTTTTTATGATGTTAATATACACTATATACACCCCGATAACATAAGGGGGCATTGTCTACTGCAATGCTGAGTCTCGGCAGTAGATCACGTTTTTCAGTGTAAATTATACACACAATAATGTTCCCAGCATGATTCTGGTGATCCCAGTTGTAGTAACAACAATCTGTAAAATTCACTGTTAAAATATTCAAGTTCACTGAAAAAGATTAAAATACTCAAAACATTCATTCTTCCTCTGCTTTTGCTCTTTTCCTCTTTACACCTTCCTCCTTTTCCACTGAGGTTTCAGTCGGAATCTGAATCTGAGTCATCTGTAAAAAAAAAGTAACATGAAGAATAACTAAGTGATACTAAGAATAGGGAATGGACTTTTTTTTTAATGCAAGGCGGTAGAAGATGACAACTAACAAATGGGAAGTAACCATGTTAATTGTAGCTTTTCATTTACATTAAACCAGAGCAGTATTTTTCAAACTTGGCAACTTTTGAGATGCGTGAACTTCAACCTCAACTGCACCAAATCATTAGGTAGCAATGTTGCACTGAAACTCTGAATAGCAAGTGTGTTTGGATAGCAACACAAGAACAGTTCAAACCTACTTTCTGACTTCTGTGGTTTGGGGGTCTCAGAGGAATCTTCCTGCTTTAGAAATGTTGCCAGGTCATTAAAGGTGAAATAGACATAGGCACAGTAGACGACGGTAGCAATAAAACCAAATACCTGAAGATCAAGATAGAGGAGATACGGAAAACATGAGTTTTTAAAATATGGAGGGGGGGGAAGAAGAGGAAAAGAGCTAAAATGGGTAGAAATAACAGAATTCAGCCCCCATCCAGTGTCTCCATTTCTACTTTTGACTCCCTTGTCTTCAACTCTTGCATGCAAAATACAGAATAACAGAGTGGGAAGGGACCTTGGATATCTTCTAATCCAGGGGTCCCCAACCTTGGCAACTTTTAAGACTTGTGGACTTCAACTCCCAGAATTCCCCAGCCAGCGTGGTTTGTGAAATTAACTGTGCTGAGAGGAAAAAAAACATTGTGTACAAAGTTCTGCTCAGAAACGGAAGCTTACCCCCGCTGCCTTCGATGCAGTGTCCGTATATTTAGAAACAGCAGCAATGGAGATGGCAAAATAGATAATAGCAGCAATAATTCCACACAAAAAATCCTGCAAAACAGAAGATTGTGAAGAAGATAAAAAGTTTACATGCGGAAATCTGCGGCCCTTCACTTGTTTGCTGAATTCTAGTTTTCACCAGACTGAACCAGCTGTGGTCAAGTTTATTAGGGATCCCTGCAACTATTCAGTCATAATTTGGAGGTCCACAGCTCACCCACTAGTTCTGCTCTGGCCAGCCTTTTCCAACCTGGTGTACTTCAGATGTGTCAAGATCACAACTCCTGACAAACTCGGTCAGCCAGCCAGGATCTGGTGAAGATCCTTACTCCTTGCTGGGATAAGTTGCAAGAGTCTTCTTTAATTGTTGAGTGTCCTGTGCCCAGCATTTATGAGATGGTGCAGAAATGCTTTGGCTGGGACACAGCATAAAATCTTCTATTCCTTGAACCAAAAGGAATCAGATCGGTCACCGGGGGCTGCCGAGTCTTTGAAGGCCAGAAAGAGACTACTGAAATATGTTAATACAATGTCCATATTTGGAGTACACAGACATTTAACTTCTCTTCTTTTCCCTGCACAAGGAAGAAACGCAAATGTAAACAGCCTGCAGAAAATCTGCTTTCTTTTTTCTAGTGGGGATGACAACCACTGGCATTTGAATTACAGAGCTCAGCTAGGTTAATATCTCAGTTATTATTATATATCTGAGTTACAGCAGAGCAGTCTTTGACCGTAAATTAGATGGCTAATGGAAAATAAATGAACAAATGGGGTGGAACAAAACTCAACGGCAGTGCTGTATTTCCCTCCCCCCCTCTGTTTTGTTTTGCAAAGTAAGTTTTCCTGGAAGGCCAGCATCCCCTGGCGGTCATCGTGGAGAACACGGAAGCTCTTAAGCGATTGTTTTCCTCAAGATCTGGCAGGGTTTTCAGTATCACAACAGCTTCACCATCAGGCAAGGCCACCCATCATTCAGAAAGCAGATTTCAAAGGTAGCTTGCTCAAAAGCCACCTGTGGAATGCCGTGGAATACAGGTAGTCTTTGACTTATGTCTAATTACTTAACAGCTGTCTAAAGTTATGATGGATTTCCTAACACTTACAACCTGGATTTGAAGTTCCATTGCCATTCTCCCACCACAGTCATGTGATCATATTTCTTTTTGCGGGGAGGGGGGCGCCTTGGCAACCAGCTAGCATTTATGGCTATTTACAGTGTCCTATGAGCATGTAACCTTGATTTATGACTTTTTTTCCCTGGAAAACGGCGTTTATTTCCAGTTTCTGGCAAAAAAACCCACTCATTGTGGACAATGGAGTTGCTTAATGACCGTGGTGTTCACTTAATTGGTGTGGGGATTCACTTAATTGCTGCAAAAAAAGGATGTAATATTGGGCGTGGTCGAACGGTGACCTGCTTAATGACCAGCACAACTCACGGCTGTACTTCTGGGCTCAATTACGTCCGTAAGTCAAGGACTACCTGCATCTGACCCCAGGCATGGAGTGCTTTGTGTTCTGTATCTCAGGTTCCAGGAGTAACTCTCAAGGTAGTAGCAGCGCAAAATACCAGCTGTTTCTTCTCCCTACCCATCATCAGGTTTTCTGGAACTGATGGAAATACAACCTCAACATGCTTTGAAATGATACCATCTCCCTCTTCTCCTTCCCTGGCAGCAAAATCACCCTGCCAGCCCATCTGATAACTGCATCCCAAGCAGCGGTAAACCCCATTCAGCTACTTACCACCAAAAGCCAATAGATGCCTCGGAACTTCTCATTCAGTTTCAGGGAATACGAAACGAAAAAGCACAAAGCGAGCAGGAATGTCAGTAACGGCACCATCATGAAAGGTGCAGCTGTGGAAGCGATGTAGCAGATGAAGATGGTAAAGGAGAGGGCCTGAAGGACACAAGTGGAAGAGCGTGGTGGTTACCCATGAGCAGATGTGCTGCGGTAGATCCGTTGGCCTCCACTCCGCCCAGTATTCCTGCAAATCCCATCCCATCCCGACTGGTGTCAGGTTTGCTTCCACCATCAGAATGTTCTTGGAGGGCTCTTCAACGTCTTTTTAAGGAGGTTTAGTTAATACTGCTTAAGTGTGCTTGACTAGAACTCAGGAGAACACGAGCTCCAGGCTTGCCACAGGAATGGAAGCTAGGTGAGTGGCTTGGGGCCAGTCTGCCTTTCTCAGCCCTAAGAAGAGTGCAAGGGCAGGCCTCTTCCCCCCAAAAAATGTGCCAAGGAAAGGTAGCAATAGCAATAGCACTTAAGACTTATATACTGCTTCACAGTGCTTTACAGCCCTAAGCGGTTTACAGAGTCAGCACCTTGCCCCCAACAATTTGGGTCCTCATTTTACTGACCTCAGAAGGATGGAAAGCTAAGTCAGCCTTGAGCCGCTCAGAATCGAACTCCTGGCTGTGGGCAGAGTTAGCCTACAATACTGCATTCTAACCACTGCGCCACCATGGCTTATGCCATGGACTTGTCTCTGCAATCACCAGGTATCAAGACTGACTTGAAGACATTAAAAAAAAAAAGCACCTCTCCGACTTCTCCCAGATTCCTTTTAAGGCTGCAACCTATTACTTCTTCAGCATTAGCCCTTGAACATCACATCTTGCCATTTTAAGAGTCAGCAACTCGCCTGGCAAGTTGTTGACCCAAAAAATTCTTGAGGACATGAAACCCTACGTGCTAATTTTGGTGAGTTGTGCAGATTAGGGCCTAAAGAGCTACCCTGGCTTGATATGAGAGATGATGGGTTACATCTAAATCGTGAGAACACACAGTGGATGCTTTCACAAAACTGTTTCCAGGGGAGCTTAGCCATTCACAAAACAGATGTTGTGGGAGATGTGACCGGTCACCAATTATCCACTTACTATTGCTCGTTGTTCCTCTTTCACCCTCTGAAAGGTTCTCTTATTTGATTAATTTTGCCTTTGGGGGACAGGAGACAAATAGACCCCTTTCTAAACCAGCCATGGACCTCCATCCAGATTTTTTTTTTTAACTTGTTAAAAAGACTTCGTGGAAAACCCAAGAGTCCAGAGACATTCTTGGACATAAAAGACAGTGCAGGAAGTTGCGTTGTGTTTTGTTGCCTGTCAGCTCTGTTTAATGTTTCTTTAAATTAAAAGACTCTTTAAAAAAAAATCAAACTCAAGCTCTAATCTGGGGGTTGGTGGATACCACTTCCTATTCCTTTGACTTCTGCAAAGGGGCCTGTTACAAAAAAAGTAACACTGCAAACTTCAGACTGGCTGTGAAATAAGAACTCGAAAAGGCAGAACGACTTCCAAGAAACCCAGCAGTTCCTGTATCTTTTTTTTTAAATCCAGGAAGTTTTTGCGAATAAGCAGTATAAACGGTCTTAAAGTTGCCAAGTTTGAAGACCCCTGCCTTAGAGAGAAAGCAGGATAAATAGACAAAACAGTAACTGCTAGTGGGAATTTGTTGGATTTTGGCAAACCCAGGTGGTCCTTGACTTATAACCATTCATTCAGCGACCATTCAAAGTTACAACAGCCCTGAAAAAGTGACTTAGGGCAGTGGTTCTCAACCTTTTTAATGCCGCGACCCCAACCGGTCGTAAGTCGAGGACTAAACCGGTCGTAAGTCGAGGACTAAACCGGTCGTAAGTCAAGGACTACCCAACCGGTCGTAAGTCGAGGACTTTCCCTGCCCGGGAGCGCCGCGCATGCGTGGTTCCGCCCCCTGCGCCGGCCGAGGCGTAGCTGGCAAGCGGCAGAGATGGAGCAGGCTGACCACCAGCTGGCCCAGCCCAAGGGAGGTAAGGCACCCGCCAGAAAAGGGGAAAAAATGGTGGACAAAAAAAATGGCGGACAGCCTTGCTTGGCGATCCCCGTGAAATGGCCGATCGACCCCAAATAGGGTCCTGACCCACAGGTTGAGAACCACTGACTTAGGGCATGTCCTCACCCTTATGACCAATACAGCATCCTCATGGTCCTGAGATCAAAATTCAAACGCTTGGCAACAGGTGTGTATTTACCATGGTTGCAGTGTTGTGCGTGCGTGATCACTCTTTGTGCCAGCTTCTGACAAGCAAAGTCAACGGGGGAAAGCTGGATCGGCTTAACACCATGTGATTCACCTAACTTCTGCACTGATTCATTTAATAACCATGGCAAAAAAGGTCATAAAATCAGGCACAAACTCACTTAAAAACTCCTTGCTTGGCAACAAAAGTTCTGGCCGGAATTTGCAATTATAAGTCAAGGAGTCCCTGTCTAACCTGCGCAGAATCTTAGAATCAAATACAAAAGAGCAAAGGGTAATTTTCCTAGATTAGATGGGAAGGGCTAGTGACTTTTTTTGCTTGATTGATTTACTTACCATTGTTCCTCTTAAGAGATATTCCTGATTTTTCTGAGCTACTTAAGGTTGATAGGCGGTTAAAATCTGTGCTTTTGTTAATCCCGTCATCTTTCCTGATAGGGCTAGATTCAGCAGGTTTAGCATGTCAGCACCTTAATCTGTGGTTAATATCTATGGAGAGTCTCCAGTCATCCAGGCCATGGTTGTCCCAAAGGTGCTTTTTCAAAAGGCAACTGGATCTTCTTTCGTTGTTTTTATCAGAAGATGTTTTGCATCTCATCCAGACACTTCTTGGATGAGAAGCGAAACGTCTTCAAATAAAAACAAAGGCAGTCCAGTTGCTTTTCGGAAAAGCACCTTTGAAACATCCGTGGTTAATGTTAACTAGGTTTGGCTTTAGCAAGCCATATTCATAACCTTGCTGGTTGTCAGGTCTGAAGAGGCTTAGGGCAAGCTGCAGAAATCTTACATTACGGGACTAGAACTGACACCGATTATGTCATACTTGGCACAATGCGTTTTGCTTTGTCTGTCCTGCAAACTCAGCCAGTGCATTTTTCCCCCAATGAACTACAGTCAAGCAAACTCTGATTTAAGAAAATGTAAAACCAGTATGGTAAAAGTTTCTGAACTTCTGTGATCACACTAGAAAAATGAGTTTTCTTGTAGTTTTTCTCATCATCTTATAGATCAAGGATCCTCCTCCTTTTTCACGGACTGAGTCAGTCCATCATCCTGCTCCTCATCCAGGGCTCAGCTGGATAGCTCTGCAGAGTCCAGACGTTGTTGTTTCCCCTATTACACAACCATCTTAGGCAATATACCCCCTTGTGGTGCTTTTATTCTGTTGTTCCCGATTAATTCAGGATTGGGCATAAGTGTGTGTTGGGAAAACCCACTCCATACGCTGCTAGAACGGGGCCGCTCAGCGTGTCGTGGGAACGCCGTCTCCGCCTTCTCTCGCGGGGGTGCAACACGCAGGGGGCTCCGCCGGGGGAGGGGGGGCGTGGCAGGTCTATCTTGGGGGGGGAGAGAGACTTCTCCCCGGTTTCTCCAAGGAAGCGACCCCTTTGCAATCATCCCCCTGCCAAATTCCCCCTGCAGGCGCGGTGGTTGCAGAAAGCGTCGTCTGAACGCTGCGCCCGGCCAGGGCTTCTCCCCTTTCTTTGCCAGAGATGAGCTCACCACCCTGGGCCCGCCTTCCCCACCCGATCAGCTCCCTTGTCTGAACTTTGCAATGGGGAGCGCCGTTCCCCCTTCCTTCCTTCCTCCCACCCCACCCCCCCCCCCCCCCCCCCCCCCCCCCCCCCCCCCCCCCCCGCTTACCGCCTGGGCCAGCAGCAGCAGCCCTTTGCGGGAACTCAGGAACGCCTTGAAGGCCAGCAAGAGGCGAGTCCCCGGCGGCGCCTCGGCCGGCTCCGGCTCTTCCCCTTCGCAGCGCTCCATGCTTCGCCTGCGAAGCGACTCCGCCGCCGATTTTGCAAGCAGCGCCGCCCGACGCAAGCCCGGGGTGGGCTGGAGGGGGGTGATTAGTTCTTTGCTGGCTCCCCGGAGGAGGAAAACGGAAACCGGGCGGAGATGGCACAAACTTTGCGCAAACTTTGCGAGCGGCCACCAATCCGGGTCGGGGCTGGGGGAGAGGCAGGGAGGGGGGGAGGGAGGGGGCCTCGCCGTCTCGGCTCCTCCTCCTCCTCCTCACTCCTCCTCCTTCTTCCTCCGGCGCCTAAATTGAACCCGCGGCGGGGTCTGCTAGCTTGGAGAGCCCAGGCGCGGAAGGCAGAAGCGCCCCCTTTTACGCAGCCAGCTGCTCCGGATCGCGACCCGCTGGGAGCGCAAAGCCCTGCCCGGCTGGACCAGCCGCGCTTGGGTTGCGCGTGGAAGTCGCAGCGAGCGAGTCCCGCGCGCGGAAGCGCCTCCCGGCGTCCCGTGTTCGTGGGAAAGCTTGAGACTCGCTGCCGCCTGCAAACGGCTGGCGCGCAAAAAAAAAGAAAAAAAAAAAGTAGGTTTGTTTCGCTAACGCGGGGTTTGCTCCAGCCTGGGCAGCTCTAAGAAGACCCCCGTGGACTTTTGACTCCCAGAATCCCCCCGCCAGCAACTCTGAAACCCGAGGGTGCTTTTCCAAAAGGCAACTGGATTTTCTTGCTTTGTTTCCTTGGGAACGTTTCGCTTCCCCTCCAAGAGCTGAGGAAGCTTCTTTGGATGGGAAGCGAAACGTTTTCAAGGAAACAAACCAAGAAAATCCAGTTGCCTTTTGCAAAAAGCACCTTGGGGATAACGGTGACTTGGATGACTGAGACTCTTCATAGACACATGTCTTTAAAGTTGCCTAGCTTGGCCATCCTTGCACTAACTTGATCATCCAGAACAACAGAATAGCCCAGTTGGAAGGGAACTTGGGAGGTCTTCTAGTCCAACCCCCTGCTCAGGCAGGAAACCCTATAGCATTTCCGACAAATGGTTGTCCAATCTCTTCTTGAAAACCTCCAATGTTTGAGCACCCACAACTTCTGAAGGCAAGTCATTCCATTGGTTGCTTGTTCTGTCAGGAAGCTTCTCCTTAGTTCTAGGTTGCTTCTCTCCTTGATTAGTTTCCATCCGTTGCCCTTGGTAGGGCTGTTGTGTTTAAAGCAGATTTGGCTCTCCCTTTGTGGTTAATAGGGAGATCATTCCACCTTTGGACAGATGGACAAGTCTGAGAAAAATATGTAGGGTTTGCAAAATATGACCTTGATTGGTGAGGATGCCTCGTTGGTAAGGGGAACCAAGCAGGGATGACATTAGGAATGAAAAATGTTTAGTCTTTTTGCAAGAAATGCAAAATAAGCATGATTTAGAAGTATGCAGACATAGTTTTGACTTTATGTATATCTTAATTATGGTGGGTAATTAATGAAGGCAAAATCAATAGATCGAAGTGGCAGGAGAAAGACTTCAGAAGACTACTGAGAATCAGTGAGGCCAAGAAGCTAACCACAATGCTTTTTCTTAATTTTCACCTGATTAAGCGTGGGAAGTAAGGGAGATAAGTTAACTATCAGTAAGAGGATGCTACAGGGCAGGGGTGTCAAACTCGCAACATCATGTGATGTGTCGCGACGTATCACAACTTTTTTTTCCATTGTTGGCAATGGGGTGGGTGCGGTTTCGCTATGATGCATCCGGCCCGCGGGCCGGCAGTTTCACACCCCTGCTATAGGGTCTTCCAAAATCCTACCCAAATTTAGCTGGGAATTTGGGGAATCGTTATCTATTATATATGGAAGGCATAATCGAGCTTTTTTGGAATTTCTGGGAAAAGTAATTTCAGCAGAAAACAAACGTTTAACAACCTTTATAGGTAAAAAAGGATCCAGGATTTTATAAACATGAATAACTTATACTCCTTTGCTTGCTTGAGGTATAACATGGAAATATATTTGATTCTACTTTAGAGATTTTTTATTGTTTATAGCAAATGGAGCTGTAAACTCGAAGGAATGTAGTTTGTCTTCACTATTGCCTGTTTAGACAAGCAAAAAAATGCCAACAGCAAAAACAATCAAGTTACATGTCCTGGTTTTTGCCTCCACTGTATGAAACTTTCAGGAAGGTGATTAAGATTCAGAAATTGACATTTTGCAATAAAATGCTTAGTCTTTCTTTTTTCTGAAATATCACCATGGGCAGTTTCTACTTCTGATTTTTTTTTTTAACCATTCACCTGGTTTTTTGAAAGCCTTAAGTTTGTTTCCTTGTGTTGAAAGAAGCTTTACCTTCACATACTGTTCCACTTTTCCATGTTTTGTATTTCCAAACATTTATGTTACCATACCTTAAATCATTTTAAGTTTCAGTTAAAAACAAATAGAAGGACACAGTTCAGTGTTTTCATTTTAACCAATTCATCAATGGCTTTAAATTATTTTTCCTATTTTTAAATTTCTCAAGAGGTCACAGAGCTGGGGAATATTGGCATGTTCACTGGAAGAATTCACATAGAGGAAGACTTGGTGGGTTGCACGAAGCCTTTTAAGCCAACAATTCCTCATCTCTGGTTTATCTTAGGTCAGGATCGGAAACTGTAGGATGGCCTTATTTGGTTTATCCTGGTGCACAAAAAGACATGTACAATTTCAGCAAAAATCTTCAGATCTTCTCATTGTGGTGTAGAATGAAAAGGAGAAGCAAGTCTTAAGGCTTGTTTGGCACGCCCAACAGTTGAGCTTCATGCCTGAATATAGTATTTCTCTCCCCCCCCCCACAAAAACGTAATTGCAATATTATTGCTAAGAATGGGGTATCTGCTTTTTTTACAACATGCGCCACTCAAAAGTTGAGTTAGAATTAGGAACTAAAACATAAATATTGTGTGTGTGTGGGGGGGGGGTTGCCCTAAGGAAATTGCTCAATAAACTTGTTTAATGTTATTAAGAGGTGGAAAAATGTAGTGTTATTCCATAAGAGCTAGTTTGGTCTAATGCAGGGGTCTTCAAACATGGCCCTTTTATGACTTTTGGACTTCAACTCCCAGAATTCCTCAGCCAGGCATGCTGGCTGAGGAATTCTGGGAGTTGAAGTCCACAAGTCATAAAAGGGCATTTGAAGACCCCCTGGTCTAATAGTCAAGGTGCCAGGTTAGAAAGCAGGTGACTGCGAGTTCTAGTCCCACCTTAGCCCTGAAAACCAATTGAGTGAGCTTGGGCCAGTCCCTCTCTCTCAGCCCAACTCGCCTCACAGGGTTGTGGTTGTTGTTGTTGTGGGCGAAAGATATGTTGGGTAGGTTCTCTGGCTTGAGTTGTTTGCAAAAACAATAAAGATGGGATACAAAAAAATACAAATGTTACTTACTGCTACATCTCTACTCTGCATTTTCAGACAATATTCCAATAGGTTGTTTTGTCTGACTTTAATCTTTTTGTGTGCTTTGATAAGATTTGCCAAGTTGTGAGTGTGTCTGCATTTGTGCAACGACGAATGGCCAGAGGCTGAATGTTTAATTGGAAAGTCGGGAGTCACTGAACACCCCCATATTAACTCAACACACTGAGTGAACTCAGTATTCTGTTATTATAAGCAGCCTAGTCAATGGTGGTGGCTTCTTAAGGTGGCATTTTGTTGAAAACGCTAACGTTTTAAAAACTTTTCTGAATGGGGAAAATGTACACAATAAACACCAGGCACCCTAATATTATTGCAGGTAAACCTTTTAATTAAAAACGTGAAGATTTAATACAAACCAGTTCAAGAAGATATACCCCATAATCATTTTCTAATGTTATATGGTTAAAAACAGCTGTTTTATAAGACACAAGGTATTTTTTTTTAGGAACGGTTGCTTATACTGCTGAAATAAATGAACTAATTTGATAAAGTACACAGTAGTCAAATGCTAGGTGCCATTAAACTAAAGGCACAAAATCCCCTTCAAGTAAAGCATTTTAAATCACAGCTAATTTGATAGGGTTCAAACGTGTGCTCAGTTTCGCCTTTTGAAATCAATAGGATTTAATAAAGCTTGACTGACTCAACTGGAGTCGAAAGCATTTAGGAAATACAGAGAAAGTGTGACAAAGAGCCTATAGCAAAGCAGGCTTTTAAAATGGATAATAACAGCTCTCCCAGTCCGATGACCTGCTGGTATTTTGTCCCAGCTGCACACAATAAAGTGCTTTATGCATTGGTTGTGGATGATGGGAGCTCTAGTCCAACATATTTGTATAATGTTACATTAGGAATGGCTGTTTTATATAGTTTATTTGGCTCCGTCGGCCATTTTATTTTTTGGATACCTTCCTACTATGACCTATTAAAAGTAACTTTTCTCAGGATCAAAGTAGCATCTATTATACAAAGAATGCAAAGTATCAAACAGAATACCTGTAAAAAAGGGGAAAAAAATAGCGGTTCAGATTCCACACAAAAATGAAAAACACAGAATCACTGTTAACATCTAAAGGCTAGTTAATAGCAACTTTATAGATCAGAATTTAGTTTTGTGATTGTAAGAAATCCGGAAAAAATGTCTGTTACCTCATATTCTAGAAAACTTGCTTCCTATTTTTATGTTCTCAGCAAATGTAAAACAAGCTTCCCGTTTTAAAGGGGGAAAAAAACCATCTTCCTTTCAAGTAACTGCAATATATTTTCGGCCGATTTGAGAAGTGGTACTTGCTAATGGCCTAGAAATATATAGTATTCTCTTTCAAATATGAAATGTGAGTTAAGTAAAATTGCAGTAAATGGGGGAGATGCTGGTAAATTGTTACTGTTGGAAGAGAGTCACATTAATCTGTGGTAGCAAGGACAAAGCCTGTTCACCAGGTACCCTCCCACAGGTATCTGTGGGTACCTGGCCCCCAGATACCCTTTAGGATGTGCCCAGCTAGTTTCACGCTGTACTGCTAGTACAGATGTCTTACTTACACCTCCAATTAATGTTGCGTCGTTGGTCTTTATTATTGTTGCACACAGGCCCACAATGATGAGAAATAGTGCTGCCACCAAGGAATTGAAAGCATCCTGAAAAACAAAGCAAAGAATATTATCTCCAGATCCAAGACGTTTTTGCTGTCTGGTAAAGAAAACTCTTCTCTTGAGTCAACCCAGTGATGCTTAGCAAATCTCACAAGGTCTTGTCAGAAATAAAATGCAGACATAAGTGTCAACGATCGTACAATAATTATTGGTCAATCACGGGTAAATGTTATTGACTTGGAATTTAGTTGACGACCTCCTCGAACGACTTTACACTTACGAATCTAGGGTCTAGACGTGTAGACTAGTTTTACAAATATAACGTAGTTATAAGAAAACGAAGCATTTTGTTTTCGTTGTAGGTTCTTTTCTCATTATTATTATTATTATTATTATTATTATTATTAGATAAAGTTGGAAGGGACCTTGGAGGTCATCTAGTCCAACCCCCTGCTCAGGCAGGAAACCCTATACCATTTCGGACAAATGGCTGTCCAGTTTCTTCTTAAAAACTTCCAGTGTTGGAGCATTCACCGCTTCTGGAGGCAGGTTGTTCCACTGATTAATTGTTCTAACTGTCAGGAAGTTTCTCCTTAGTTCTAGGTTGCTTCTCTCCTTGATTAGTTTCCATCCGTTGCTTCTTGTCCTGCCTTCAGGCACTTTGGAAAATAGCTTGACTCCCTCTTCTTTGGGGCAGCCCCTGAGATATTGGAACACTGCTATCATGTCCCCCCTCATCCTTCTCTAAGCTTTAATATAACTGCTGGAAAGAAATTATTTTTGTAATGGGCAGAGGTTAAAGCTCCACGGAAAAATTATTTTGAGTCATCTTGAGATCATTAAAAAAGTGAAGGATGAGTAATCAAATGCTTAATGCAGTAACACCCAGTGACATTTTATAAGTAGTACCCCAAACAGAAAGTAAACAGTGTTTTAAGTCTGAATCGCTTTTTATTGAACAAAGTCTGTATCATTGTAGCTAATAAAAAATGATAGCCAATATATTTAGAAGTATATTTAAAGCATCTTAAATATAATATCACAAATGGTGACAAGTAGACGTATTTTGAAGAATAATTTTAGGTTTTAGGCATTGCCCAAAATCATTCATGGAATTTAAGCTCCTGTTTTCCATATCGAGTTTGTTTACATTTTTCAGTACTATCTTATTCTGTGTTTTTACTTTTATTTCTTACTGGATAAGTACTTCTTACTTAGAAAAGAAAATCTGTTAGTTTGTAAAGACGGAAGAGTAGGAAAATGATAATCTGAAATGGTCTGGTGGATTAATGCTTTTCGTTCAATGAAACTAGTCAGCTAAATATAATCCTAAGAATTATCAACATTAGATACGTGATTTATAAGTAGATCTAATGCCACTAATTTCACAATGTTAAATAGAGCATACTCATCAGAAGCATGTTTAGAATGAATAAATGAATGCATGCACACAAGCACACATACGAATGAATCAGACCAGAGATAAAACTATACAAAACAGTGGAAGTCTTTTTATAATGTCTATTTTTCCAGGAATATGACTGGATACATTAAGTACTAACCTGACATCTGCCTTTTGCGTTAGCTACAGAATGTGTACACAAAGCAGTTGTTTGTAGAAAATCATACTTACAGCCAATGGCCAAAACATGAATTTTAACTGTTCCTCCAACTTCAGCAGATAGAGTAAATAGAATAAAAAGGTAATGACAAGTTCCATGATCACAAGGGCTAGGAAGGCTTCGTGAGATCTTTTAACAACAAAAGTGATGGTTGCCATAAGAGCTAGAAGCTGCAAGGAAGAAATAAGTAATTTACAAGACATCCTGCAAAGATACCAGATTGCTAAACTTTCTATTTGATGTATTAAAATAATAAAACACAAAGCTAAGAAATTTCACCAAAAGAAATGCTACACGTTTCTTTGGAATTCTAGCTAAAACAGACCATGGATATGACAAAATGGTCAGAATGTCTTGCACACAAGTTCTCCATGTGAAACACATTTAAATGGCAGCAGCAACTATAACCCAAGAGTTTGGAGATTCATACTTTGATTCTATTGATCAAAACAAACAGCCAAAACAAGGCACAACTTTCTTAAAAATGGAAGTTAAGTTTGCTGAGAGGTATTATGAAATAGTGGCTGGGTTTCTATTCCATTCTTTATTTGGTTATTGAATTAATTCACTTTCTTGTTTGCATGATCAGTGAATCATACAGAATAAGCTGGATTTGCACAAAATATACTAATATACACACATGAACACCCTTGGATGGCTCTGGACAACCACTGAATGGATAAAGGGATATGAAAAGTATTCATACAACACACCTACTCAGTTACAGACCTAGAAATATGGCTTGTTGGACCCTGTTTAGTTTCTTTCTGGGGTAGAGCTGATGTGTGAATCCAGAGATTAGGAATGAATATGAATGGTTCACTGCCTGAAAGTCAGACACTGAATTTTAAAAAATGTCTTATAATGAAAAAAAATGGAGCAATATGTAAAGTCTAGATGTATGAATATGTTAAGTGAGTGAGCTCATTTTATATTTACTTCATTTGTTAGTCAATTTATATGGCCACTCATCTCACTAAATATGACTGGGTAGAGCACAACCAAACATATTAATATTGTATGAATCCATTTTACCTTTTCCTTCAGCTTTACATCATTATTAGGTTAACCGCTGTTCTGCTTATTACTTTTTATATTTTATTTCATAACAAGATATACAAAAGCCAAAAAGACAAAGGGAAACAACGGCAATTGCTTTTCCAAAAAAAACCAGTGAGATTACGCATTTCTTGCGCTCTCTGCTTAACACTGGGAATAACTGCATTTTGTATTATTTCACACACCTGCATATTATATCTCTCGTATATATTTCTCACATATACAGTATAGATGTGGAGAGGAAAGCAGTTCAATTCAGCTACTGTGTCCCAGATGTTATGTGATGACAGGCGTTGCCCCGATGTGACTCTAAAAGTTATTTGGGAGGGACTTATTTTCTAGGATATATCCAAGGAGGAGAAGGTGAAAGAAAAGGAAAAAGAAGAGAAGGAGACAGGAGAAAAAGAAAAGGAAACAGAAAAGAAAAAGAAGAAAAAGAAAAGGAGGAATAGAGAAAAGATGAAAGGAGGAGAAAAAAGACCAGCAAGAGGAGAAAAGGAGGAAGGTGAAGAAAGAAGACAGAAAAAGATGAAGGGGAGGGGAGAAAGGAGATGGAGAAGGAGAAAGAAGATGGCAACGGAGAAGGAGGAGGAGAAGAAAGGAGATGAAGAGGAAAAGAGAAAAGGAGATAAAGAAAGGAGAAAAAAGGAAGAGGAAAGAAAGAAAAAGTAAATAAAGGAAGGAAGGAAGGAGGCAGGAGAAGAAAGAATAGGAGAGATGAAGGTGGAGGGGGGAAAAGATGGAGAAAGAAGAAGTAAGATGGCAACGGAGACAAGAGGAGAAGAAGAAAGGAGATGAAGAGGAAAAGGAGATGAAGGAGGAGAAAAAAGGAAGGAAGAGGAAAGAAAGAAAAAGTAAAGGAAGGAAGGAGGCAGGAGAAGAAAGAATAGGAGAGATGAAGGTGGAGGGGGGAAAAGATGGCGAAAGAAGAAGTAAGATGGCAACGGAGACCAGAGGAGAAGAAGAAAGGAGATGAAGAGAAAAGGAGATAAAGAAAGGAGAAAAAAGGAAGGAAGAGGAAAGAAAGAAAAAGTAAATAAAGAAAGGAAGGAAGGAGCCAGGAGAAAGAATAGGAGAGATGAAGAGGGAGGGGGAAAAGATGGAGAAAGAAGAAGTAAGATGGCAACGGAGACAGGAGGAGCAGGAGAAGAAAGAAAGAAGGATGGAGGAGAAAAAGGGAAAAAGACCTGAGAAGAAGAAAGAGAAGAAAGAAGGGAAAGAAGGAGAAGGAGAGAAGAAAGGACAGAAGGCGAACCAAGGGAGGAGACCCTCGGCGCGGCCACTCAGACCACCCTCCGGCCCGGCGAGGGAAGAGGAGGCGCTCTGCACAAGCTCAGAGGCTCGCCCGGCCTCCACCTACCATGCGGGCCGCCTTGAGGATGCCGCCCGCGGAGCGCGGGAACTGCCGGTCCACTTCTACCTTCTCCATGGCGGCGCTGAGAGGCGGCGGGCGGTGCCGGAAGGGGCGCCGGTTGGCGGGCGGAGGGCGAGGGCGCCGCGTTCCTCCACGCCTCCTCGGGCCGGCTGGGCCGTCCTACCCGGCCGGGGTGAGGCGGGGAGGGGATCAGATGAGCGCCCCCTCCTCCTCCCGTCCCTCTCTTTCCAGGCCGGCCTACCTCACAAGGCGGTTGTGAGGAGACAGATGGGCGTGGAAAGGGAACGGGGGAAAGAAATGTGGATTTGAGCATCTCTTTCTGCCCCTCTGGATGGTCTACCTTGCAGGGGGCTCGTGAGAAGGAAGCCACCAACCAGCCCAGCTTTTGGCCCCATTGTGAAACGGGACTTTTGGGGTCCGGTTTCAGGTTTCCCCATAGCTTGTAAGCTTGGAGTTGAATAAACCATGGTTAGTGTTATCCCTGGAACCTTTTATGGATGCTTAGTGAAGATGCTGTTCTTAATTCTCCCTTATTTTAGATTGAATATAATTGTATTGGTCAGATCGATTAGTGAGAGACATTGGGATCCATTTTAAAGAAAGGTGTCCTTGGCTAATTAATGCATGACAATGATATATATTCTCAGACTTTATTTTGGAAGAGCTTTGGGTGACAAAGGGAGAGGTTTCTTCTGCAAAGAAATATGAGTTGACAAGTGGATTTTCAATTATTTATTTAATCCATTTATACGGTCTGACATACATCACTCTGGGTGGCTTACAATTATTGGACAAGAAATAATCCTACATTAAACATATAATGTGAATAATAATAATAATAATAATAATAATAATAATAATAATAATAATAATAATGATAAAGTTGGAAGGGACCTTGGAGGTCATCTAGTCCAACCTCCTGCTCAGGCAGGAAACCCTATACCATTTTGGACAAATGGCTGTCCAGTTTCTTCTTAAAAACTTCCAGTGTTGGAGCATTCACCGCTTCTGGAGGCAGGTTGTTCCACTGGTTAATTGTTCTAACTGTCAGGAAGTTTCTCCTTAGTTCTAGGTTGCTTCTCTCCTTGATCAGTTTCCATCCGTTGCTTCTTGTCCTGCGCTCAGGCGCCTTGGAGAAAAGCTTGACTCCCTCTTCTTTGGGGCAACCCCTGAGATATTGGAACACTGCTATCATGTCCCCCCTCGTCCTTCTCTTCGTTAAACTAGTAGATTATACTGGTTAGGTTCAGGGTTTATGCTAAAACATAAAGTAGTGTTTTTAGTTCAGGCTTCAAAAGTGTTGCATACAAATCTACTTCAAGTGGCTTTCAAGCCATAATTAATGTCACTATCATGGCTTGTACCAATATAACTTCACCCGTCTTTTTCTGCTCCAAAACTATGATTAGCTTTGCTAAAGGAATTCCGGTATCGCAACAGGAAATAATTTAGTAAGAACCCTCTTACAGCACTGAGATAAAAGCAACTCTTTGAAATACCAGGATATTTATTATTCTTTGCGTAGACTCAAATATTAATTGTGCTTCTTGTTTATTATTATTAGCAGTTGAACATTTGTTTCAAACTTGCACCTGGAATTGTTTTACATGACTTAGGAATTTTGACAATATGTTCCAATTATTTATACCATGTTTACACCACTGTATCTAATCTTGACTATGAAGGGGTAATAGGGAAGCAAAAGAACAATTCATAATAAAACTCAACATTGTACAGTCAGAAATGGCTGCCTGGTTCTTATCAGTCAGATAAAATGGCAGTGTAAAAGGGGGTTTTCAGGATTTTCCAGAATGCCAAGAGTAAAGGGGCAAGTTTAATTTGATGGGTAGCACGTCCCACAATGCTGCCCCTTTCTTCTCTCAAAATCACTGAATTGTATAGCTGGAAGGGACCACGAGGTCATCTATCTCAACCCTCTGCAGTGCAGAGGAAAACCAAGTCAATGATCTTGAGAAAGGTCTGTCTACCCTTTTTGTCAAAATCCTCATTACGTTCCTCTTCCATAGTTCCACTTTTCTTACTGTTCCTGCTGTCAGGATTTTTTTTTCTTAACCTCTGTAATTTATATCCATTATTTCTTGCCCTGGTTTCCACGGAGATGGAAGAAAGTGGGCAATTATGCAAGTCCCCCTCCCAATGCTCCTGGAAGATGGCAATCTCCTAATATAATGTGTTGCTGGAGGGCAGGCTGGGACCACTCATAGAGTGAAAAGGCCATGTTGATACATGAGAGTTAATTGCAGGCCACAATGGGAGACCTGGCAAGGCAATCAGCTGTTTGGTGGCTAACAATGCAGAGGCAGTGATGGAGCTGGCATCCTGGGCAAGGCCTTGAGGTGTTTTGCAGCATGTCTTTCAGGGCAGAAGTGGCTCTGAAAAGTTAGCCAGTGGTGACATTTGATGACAATGAACTGGTTTTCCAAAAATGCTAGTAGACCGCACAAAGCTGCTTGTGTGTTTTGATCATCACTTATATTTTTAATTGGGCCTGGAGGGGCCTGGGAACCAGTGCAGTGACTGTGACGTGGCATTATCCCACAACTGTGGGATACTAATAGTTTGGCTATTACCTTGTGTGCGAGTTAGAGCTTCTGAGCTCCAGAGAGTGTGTGTTGCAATAGTCAAAATTATGGCAATAAAGATGTGACTTCCTGTCCGCAACATTTCTCATCCAGTTATTCCGATTCTTTGTTCTCTGCAATGTTTTCTGTGCAATCCGTAATGGGGTTAACAAATCCATTATATTAAGCTATAATTACAACTAGCTTGATTTCAGCATCTTTGTGAAGCCAGATTATTTTGTATTAATTCACCGACATCTTGGTTTGCTTTTACACTCATTTTAATCCCTTCCAAATCAACGCCCCTGAAAGCAGCTCGGCCCCCAAGCTTCCTCCTTCCGTTATATATTCAAGATGGACAATATTTCATATCTATTTGCTATGTATAAGTAGTGATGTGGGTCTATACATATGTTGTTTATAGTATGTATTAAGTGTGTGTCATGTATGTGTTTCACTTTGAGAGCGGGCAACTCAATTTCACTTTTGATGTGTGCCATTGTGCCCACAGTATGAAAATGACAATAAAGGTTATCTTATCTTATCTTATCACAACCCACTTGATATAATTCACTTTTTTTCTTCCTTGGACTTCCATAATACACTGATTCCCTCGGGTGTGCAAGCGGTCTGAGCTCGCCCGCGTCCAAAAGCCCTCGCCATGCTTAGCGCATTGTGCGAAGGATAGTTGCAAAGGGTCAAAACCGAATTGCACCCGCCTGCCTGCGGCTGACCAAGGAAAAGATCTTCCAGCTTGCACCCCCTGCTCGTCCTCCAGGCCACAAGGCTTGAACTACAACTCCCAGCAACCCCTTGGCAACCTGGGCAGCTGCGCGCCTCCCCTTGTCCCCGTTGCAAAAACGCAGCTGCTGGGCTCGCGCCCGGGACTGGCGGCGTCTACGAGCGCAGCTGCTCCAGCGGCGGAAGGAAGCGGCTCGCCCACCCCGGCAGCTGCTCTTTCCGGCCTTTGCAGCGCGGCCGCCCTCCGGTTCCTGCGAGAGTCACGCACGTCCGGACATGGGCGATGTGGCGGGTGCAATTGCTCCGCCACCGGCCCTGGCTGGCCGGCTTGCAGCTCTGGGCGGCTGGGCCTGGCTCGGCTTCCCGCCGCTGCAAAGGCGGCTTCTCACAGCTCCGTCCCCCTGCGCCGCCGAGGGATCAACGCTGCCCCACGGCCGGGTCTTCTCAGCACGTCTCTTGTAGGTCCGGCCTGGCTCGGCTTGGGGATGGGGGGGGAGGAGGGGGCGCGGGGCTAGCGAAATTTCTGGGCTGCTGCGCGATTCGCGCGACCCGTCGGAAGGTGCAAAGTGTCCCAGGATTGCTCCGAGTTCGCCTTTGCTTTGTTTACCGTCGCTTGGAAATGCTACAGTCACGTGGAAATGAAATAGAAGTGTCCATTGCCTGGGTCTATTGAATTCGTATAATAATAATAATAATAATAATAATAATAATAATAATAATAATAATAATAATAATAATAATAATAATAATAATAGTAATAGTAATAGTAATAGTGATGATGATGATGATGATGATGATGATGATGATGATGATGATGATAGCAAGGGTAGTACCAATAGTAATAGGCGCCTTGGGTGCAATCCCAAAACAACTGGAGCACCGCTTGAACACCATCATTGGCATTGACAAATTCGCCATTAGTCAATTGCAAAAGGCGGCCTTACTAGGCACTGCTTCCAACCTGCGATGATATCTGTAATACCATCAAACATCCACATCTGCCTATCCCAGGTCCTTGGGAAGGACTTGATAGGTAGACAAAATGCCAAATCCAGTCTGAACATCTGGCTGAATGTGCGATGAGCCATAATAATAATAATAATAATAATAATAATAATAATAATAATAATAATAATAATAATAATAATAATAATATAATAATGCAATAATAATAATACAATAATAATAACATAATAATAAAGTTGGAAGGGACCTTGAATTGAATTGGAAAGCTGAAATTTCTAACTGCTGGCCACGAAAAGTTTGGGGCATTTATTGTTTCTGCTTTTTGGGGGGTGGTGGTGGTGGTGGTGGTGTATGTTTGGGATAACTCGATTTTGATGAAGTGGCATATGATGCACAAAAGCTTATGTCATGGTCAATCTTAAAAGTGTCACTAGTCGGGGCTTAATGAGGACCCAGCATGAAAGGAGGACTGTGAAATAGAGTTGAGTGGCAGTCAAGATGCCAATATCTGACAAAGACTATAACATGGGACTGCGTCTAGTCTAGTCTGTGATCTTGGCTAGTCTTGTTTCCTGGGTAAATATGTCAGTTGATCCTAGAAGGCCTTGAAAGAGACTCCTGGTCCTGTTACACAATCTTGCCCTTTCCCACATCCTTCCTGTACCTCTTCTGTTTGCATCCGGTGTGGTGAGGATGAGTGCTGTGCAGGTGTGTTTGTGGCATCTACAGTCACACTACCCCTGTCCTGCTTTTACATTTTTTCCTCTCTCTACCCAGCAAGGGCAAAGGATTTAACTTTTTCCTTTCACATATTGTGCTAAAATATCTTTTAATTCTTGTTTGCACTACCTGCAGTTGCGCATCATATTTACCAGCATGTGATGACATGTGATGACATGTGAAACTTGCAAAGAACAAATTACGTGACCTGGACTACAGGCCCTGCAATTCGATTCCGCCTTGAGCGGTACTGTTGATCAGGATTCTAGCAAGGCTGTTCAACTTCCTCTCCTCCTACCCTTGATCATCTTCTTTAAAGTAATTGATATTAAAAGAAGATTTTATAAAGATTTTAAAAACTACAGAAAAATAGAAGAAGAAATAGGGTAAAAGGAAAACAAGAATAGCAAGAAAAAAAGATATCTAAAGCAAATCTGGTTCTTTGCAGCAGTTGCAGACATAGTGATTATCGTTTCCTCCCTCCCATTTTGCATGTCATAGTTCCTTTCTTCCCATAAATCATTTTAATCAATACATCCAAAAATCATTAGTTCAATTTTATCCATTTGCAACAAAAAGTCCATAAGTGGTTTCCAGTTTTTTTTAAAAATAAAAGTAATTGTAGTTCTCTCCTTAAACAAGTTCTTCAGTATCTGGATCCATCTTTAGACTGTCAGAATTAACTTAATTAAAACAAGTTAATTTAGCCATTTTTGCACATTGCCATCCTTCCATGATTGCTGTTTCTATAGTCTTTGATATTTGTGCATAAAATAGCCTTAATATTATATTGCCCTTTCCTTTGTAATTCCACTAATATTTCAATGTATTACCAGCACCAATTACTCTTCCAGCTTAATGCCTTTTTTTTCTTTTAAAGATAAGCACCTGGCAAACGGAGGAGAAAGGAAGACAGTTGTAAGTATGAAGCTCCCATATGCTGCATTAATGAGACAATAATGAAAACCATCACTGTGCATTTCTGAATGCAGACTTGCAAATCTTTTTGTGGGATCCCATAAAGGAGAGGAATAATACATATGTAGTAGGTTTTAAAAGGCCTTGGGGGTATAACAGTGTGCAGATGGGAAGAATATATGAAGTCCGCATTGAAACCTTAATTAAAGTGACTGGAAACTGATAATTGATGCTCGCTCACTCGATTGATAACATGACTGCATGGACTTTTTATTTGATATTTGATGTATTGGCTCTTTGAGTTTAACCAGACTGGGGAACCTGACTCCACAAGCAGGGTAGAACAAAACTTTATTGAAGTACTGTAGGCTATAATAACGGAATTGGATTGTGAAGTAGTTGTGAATCGATAGGATGTAAGTAATAAGTTAGGTTTTATTTTTCTTTCCCTTTTTCTTAGATACCCCAGAGCAGGGGTAGGCAACCTTGGCTCTTTTATGACTCGTGGACTTCAACTCCCAGAATTCCTGAGCCAGCATGGCTCAGCTTGGAAACCTTTCCCTTTTCCCTCAATGTGGCTGGCTCAGGAATTCTGGGAGTTGAAGTCCACGAGTCATAAAGCGGCCTAGGCCTAGGCCAGAGGTAGACAACCTTGGCTCTTTTATGACTCGTGGACTTCAACTCCCAGAATTCCTGAGCCAGCATGGCTTAGCATGGAAACCTCTCCATTTCTCCTCAGCATGGCTGGTTCAGGAATTCTGGGAGTTGAAGTCCACGAGTCATAAAAGAGCCAAGCTTGCCTACCCCTGGCTTAAACCATGTGACAATGATTATGTGGTGATTTAGAATGTGAATTTGGGAGGGGGCGTTGTTTTATGTAGAGAGGGGGAAAAAATCTGTGTTTTCCAAATTGAGAGAAGAGCAAATCCTAACTTTTTTTGAATTCGAGTGTCACCATTGAGAGTTTACTTGCTGTCATTTCATCCAGCCTTAATCTGGATTTTGTTTTCTTTCTGTTTTTATCAGATCTGCATCGAGGGGAATATCGCTAGCGGGAAAACAACCTGCCTGGATTATTTTGCAAAAAACACTGGCATTGAGGTGATGCATTGTGCTTTCTTGAGTTTTTCATATTCTAAGTGTGCTTCACGCAGATGTAAATAAATAGGATCAGGATTGCAGTTCATACATTTAGTGAAATTCCTGCCCTACGAAATACATTTTTTTTTCACCACAGTTCCTTTGAATATCATGTCGTAGTGAAGTTCCAGATACGTTCCTGGGTTTTTCCTCCCCTGAAACTACTTTATATGACTCACTTTCAATGCTTCAGGGCAGATTACGAAAACATAATAAAACAATTCGTTTGTAAAACTGAATCCCACAAATACATAGCACCAAAAAAGCCTTGGTGAAAACAGGCTGGAACTTTATAAACTATAATAAAGGGGGGTGGCTGCTAAAATTTGAATGGCATTTTGCTTCCTAATACATATCGGCCTTTGGGAAAAGCAGATTAAATTGCTAACTGGTAACTGGTAGACTGAACCAGGTTTAAACCCATCTCATGTCACCGTATGTCAATTTCAGAAGTTGCCTCTCTTCTGAAACTGACAAATGTCAGCTTGGATCACCACAGAAGGTCCTTGTGTTAAGTCTCTCGAACTTTTCAACAAGATAAGCGTGGGAGAATTGAAAAGGCTGACTGGACGTTGAGAAAGTTAAAAGTGTGGCAAAAATAAAAATTAGGTTTTTTTAATTGAATGAACAAAAAACAAATCAAGACAAAACTCTCTTAAACATTGCAGAATTAGAAAGAAACACAAAGCAGGGACAAAAACGTGGCTAAGGAAAAAATGAAAAGATCACCAATCAGTGGTTCTCAACCTTTTCTTCACCATGCGCCCCCTTTAAATACCTTTTGTGGCCATAAACACCCAAAACTTAAAGCAAGATTTAAATCATAACATTTCTTCAAGCCTTCGTGGACCCCCTGTAACGACATTGCAGCCTCCCAAGGGTCTGCCAACCACAGGTTGAAAACCACTGATATAGATATTTTATTGGCTAGTGGTTTCACATAGTAGTGAAAGAGCATAAGAGAATCTCAAGAGAATTTTTCCAAGGGCAAAATCTGTCCTTGGCAAAGCAGTCAGTCGTATAGAAGCTAACATACTTGCATAGCATCGTCTGAGGGTACCACTTGCTAATCTTCCACATTTCTCAGTTGTTTCTCTAGTGTAGCTTCAGAGAAGTAAATTTTCTGTATTGCACTGATTTTTTTTTTAATTTTCAAGGTGTTGACAGAACCAGTATCTAAATGGAGGAACGTCCGTGGACATAACCCTCTGGTAAGTTGCTAGAATGAAACTCCTGAACTTATTTTCTGCATTAATTCTTTTAACTGCTTGAAAGCCCTTGAATTATAGTGAGAAATTAAAAACTGAACTACCCTTATATAACACCAGGAAACATACTCATTCTCTAACCTCATGAGTTATTGAGTAGGTTGTTTATATGACTCGCTAGAATAAGATATCCCAAGACAGCAGATGTTCTACTTCCTCTTTGTAATTTGGTAATAATTTTCAAGCCTTCCTTTTTGTAAATAATAGGTCTCAGTTGTACATGCTGGTCCTTGTGAAGTGAAAATACATTTAGGTCCAAAGGAAGGTATGAAACGCAAATATTCCTCGGTGGCCAGTGTCCCATTGAGAACTGAATATGCTTAGTAAGTCCTTCCCATTGGGAGAAGAAATTAAATAAATACTGGAGGATTTGTAACTATATGTGCTCATGTACCTAATACTGCAACAAGTCCTATTCTATTCTATTCTATTCTATTCTATTCTATTCTATTCTATTCTATTCTATTCTATTCTATTCTATTCTATTCCAATTCCAATTCCAATTCCAATTCCAATTCCAATTTCATTCCAATTGCATTGCATTGAGTTGTTATTGTTTTCTCCCCAATGCCAGGGCTTAATGTATCAAGATGCAACCCGGTGGGGGCTGACACTACAGACTTACGTGCAGTTGACTATGTTGGACCGGCATACAAAACCAATGGTATGTTTTACAGTGTAGCATTAGAATCCTAATACAGGCAGTCCTCAACGACCACAATCGAGTCCAAAATTTCTGTAGCTTAAGTTTTCCGAAGTTGTTAAGTTAATTTTGTCCCCTTTCCGACCTTTCTTGATAAGTGAATCATTGCAGTTAAGTTAGTACACAGTTGTTAAGTGAGTCTGGCTTTCCTATTGACTTTGCTTGTCTGAAGGTCACCAAAGGTGATCACACAACCCCGGGGCTTGGCAACCATCGTAAATAATTGCCAGTTGCCAGATGTCCGAATTTTGATCACGTGACTATGGGGATGCTGCAACAGTTGTGTGAAAACTGGTCAAGCTCTTTTATCAGTGTGGTGGTAACTTCGAACAATCATTTAAATGAACGTTGTAAGTTGAAGACTTCCTGCATTGAGAGCCAGTGTGCCATAATAGTTAAGATTCTGGGAAGGTAATAAGGAGACCCTGGTTCAAATCCAGTCTCTGCCATGGAAGCTAAATGGGTGATTTTGGATCCGTCACCTTCACTTCATCCTACGTCCTTGGCTTGTCAAGATGGGGAAAAAGATGGGGACGGAGAATTATACAGTTCTTGAATAAAAGGTCGGATTGAAATTAACCAGGTTGCTGGTTTCATAATGGCCTTGCTGATGTTAAATAAACTTTAAGGCAGTGGTTCTCAACCTGTGGGTCGGGACCCCATTTGGGGTCGATCAACCATTTCACGGGGGTCGCCAAGCAAGGCTGTCCGCCATTTTTTTGTCCGCCATTTTTTTTGTCTGCCATTTTTTTCCCCTTTTCCGGCGGGTGCCTTACCTCCCTTGGGCTGGGCCAGCTGGTGGTCGGCCTGCTCCGTCTCTGCCGCTTGCCAGCTACGCCTCGGCCGGTGCAGGGGGCGGAACCACGCAAGCGCGGCGCTCCCGGGCAGGGAAAGTCCTCGACTTACGACCGGTTGGGTAGTCCTCGACTTACGACCGGTTTAGTCCTCGACTTACGACCGGTTTAGTCCTCGACTTACGACCGGTTGGGGTCACGGCATTAAAAAGGTTGAGAACCACTGCTTTAAGGGAATAAATAAGGAATCTGTAGCCCAGTGGATGCTGCAGAACAGCTGATGCTCCCCTCCCCTTGAATAGCTAACAATCCGTCTGTCTGTCTGTCAACCCATCCATCCATTCTTCTGAATGGCTTTTGACATTTAATTTACAGATTTCTCCCATAAGAATGATGGAGAGGTCCATTCACAGTGCAAAGTACATTTTTGTGGAGAACTTATATCGCAGGTACGGTACAAAGTGTGCTTTTAAGAGAGTGGCTTCATATTTTATTCATTCTGAAATAGCTCAGGAACAGAGCCAAATTACCATCAAATTGTCAGTTGCACACTGACTGACTTTAGGCATGCTGGCTGCTGCTATTCATCTTGCAATATATTTTCGATTTATCTTCCCCGTTATTTTTGCACTCGAAAGAAAAGAATAAACATACAGCCAAACTAGGTTTCTTTTTCTGAAATATGGGAGGAAAAGGAGAAGCCAATTTGTTAATCCACAAGGTGGCATCTTGGCTACAGAGAGTTTTTTGAGCAAAGGTGCAGATGTGATGGTACAAAAACACCTTTTGGTTCTCTTTTATCCAAATTGCTGAAGTAATATGATGTAGCAATTGCCGTATTTGTCTGATTGCTATTTGTGTGTGACTTTGAAGAAATTACATTAACTGCTTTTTTTGCATGTGCATATTGGATATACGTTAAAAGCTTTGCTAATTGTTGGGTTGGGTGGAAGCTATGCATTAGTTGTTTGAAATTTTGTTCTTTTATATTACTTAAACCTGAACGAGAATAAGCAAACCACGGTTATATGCTATGTGCTCGGTTTAGCTATGGAGGAGAAGGCTAGTGAAAGCACTGACATACCTTCATGTGCTCTTCTGCATACAGTCCTTGCTTACGTGTGGTAACCAGGCAACGTTGAACTGATTCATATAAATGTTGACATTGTTTCAGTGAATGATTACTGAAAACAGATCAGATAACTGTCAACGCTGCAAATACTGTATATTCTTGCTTTGACAATATGCAGAACTGTCTGGTATTTTTATAGTTAAATCAGGCAACAGTGAAAGGGGAGGAGAATAAGGAAAGCCCAGGAAAAAAAACCCGGAAGTAAATCATATCTTCCAAATTAATTGGAAGATGTGAACCATGACCCCAAAATAGGTGCGGGAAAAATGCCTAGAATGTATGTGCAATGGAAAAGAATCTCAGATCTAAGCATTTCCACCATGCCGTACTGACATCTCTGTAACCTTAATAAATGCTTTTAGGAAAAATATGCCTGAAAGTCCTTTTAAGTGTTTCGTTAATCAGACACATGACATCATGCTTAGATCTGAGATTCTTTTCCGTTGCACATTACATTAAAATCTTTTGGCTCAGTTGTGGTTGAGGTAGAAATACAGCAACGTGATGGCCTAATGGTGAAGACACTCATCTCCCATTTGGAAGGTTGAGAATTCAATCCTAGATAGTGGTAAATGTTTATCTCCTAGGGTGCAAAGAAAAAAAAAATCTGTGACCTCCACATAGACGTCAGGAAGGGCATCTGGCTAGTAAATGCTCAACTCCATCCAGTTGCCCAGACTACCCTGAATTATGGGTTTACAAGGTTGTAAAAAGAGAGTGGTTGAGGTAGAAATATCCAGAAGTGAGGGGAAATATATTCATTGATTCCCAGTGATGTAAAATTGGAAAGCCTTCAACTTGGATGGAAGACAACCAGAAAATACCAGGATTGTTGGCTAGACTGGAAAGTTGTGAAGAAGGAAGTGGTGAATTATTTCTATATACTTTTATGAAATAAAAGACAAGAATGTACCTATATGAAGGTATCATTATTTGAACTTGAGTTAAGGGCGACGATATTGATCTTCCAGTCGTAGTAGAACTTAGCAAATGTTGGCTGATCTGCAAAAAAGCTGAGCAAGGTTACGCTTGCTTAGTTCTTGAGGAAGAGAATTCCATAGTGGTGGGCTAGACTAGTAAACTAAAAAAAAAAATCTCAGAAGAAAGCAAACTTCAACCCAAAGTCAAGGCGGAAAGCAGTACGAAGTTGCAAATGGCAGCCATGTGACCGTAAAATGCTGTGATTGTGTGGGATTCACCTAACTGGCAATTGGGACTCTCCCAGCTGCTGTCATAAGATGGTGCAATCACATGACATCACACTGCACAGTTAACGGAGTTGCTGGTCTCAGTTAACGTCATCTTTAAATGAGAACTCCCTGTAAGAGCCCGCAAAGCTCTGAGATTTTGACCATGGGATATGAGATCTTGGTGATTTTAGAGGAAGGCTGGGCCAGCGTACATCATTTTGTGATGAGGATGAAGAGAAAGATTAGCAGTTGCTGGTTGATAGCGTGAAGATGAGTAACTGAACTATTGACAATCTTTTTCGTTTATGTTCCAACACTGGGTGCCTGCTCAGATCATTCTCCTGTATTTGTTGCAGTGGGAAAATGCCAGAAGTAGATTACGTCATCCTGACGGAGTGGTTTGACTGGATCATCAAGAATGTGAATGTGTCACTTGATCTGATAGGTAAACACCTCTATTGATTCTTCAGTGATGGAGAGGTTTCGTGGCTACTGATCATTAGGGATCACTTTGATAATCTTCTTACAGACCAACATAAGGTTCTCCAACACGATGCCAATCAGATAGTTTGAATTTCAATGTCCATAATTCTTTAATCACTGTGAATTAAGGCAGTTGCACTTTCCACATACATGAGGGAAAGTGGGTGAGAGAAATCATATGTAAAATCTGTGTTGTTTCTTTTTTTAATAAAGTAGAAGCTTTTGTGTTTGTCCATTTGTGTGTGTAGGGTAGACTAACTTTTTAGCTCTAAATTATTATTTTTCTTTTGATAGTTTAAAATCTAGAATAAGTTCATCTTCAGTTTACCCAAAAGTATTTTTTTCACAAGGCAACTGGACTTTCTTGTTCATTGCCTTGTGAAAAGCATTTTTGGGACAACAATGACCTGGATGATTGAAAATTTCCATAGACATCTTTAATCCACATTGGCAGTAAAGGCTTCAGTAGTAGTTTCCGCATTGTATGCTTAATAGGTGATTACATGAATGTATTCTACTTTTTTTTAACTTGAAATGTTTATCACTTTGGGATTTTTTTTCCCCTGATAGATTCCTATAAGTATAATTTTTCTCTGAGCTTTGTATACAGTTTTATTTATGGCCAAAAGGCCCCAAAGCAAGTTACAAATATAATCTAAATTTGGCATTGAATAAAAACACTTTTAACAAGTAAAATATTTAACACGCATTACATCATAGACTTAAAACCCCAACTCATTGATTTGTTATTAAAATCCATGGTTTTATAGCCATCGTTAAAAAATCTGCCGCTAGTGGGATCTGAGCTTTCAAAAACTGGATGGATCTTCAAGAATATTCAGTTTATTTTAGTACGCCAAGCATTTTGAATGGGAAATGCTTGGTTTCAAATGGGTAGCTGTTGTTACAACTGTTGTAACCATTTTGGAATTCTTTTCAAGGCCGAATCAACTCTGCTTCTGAGTTAAAAATACTTTTGAAATGATTAAAACTGCCCTTGCATTCTTAACAGTTTCAAACTATGATGGTTTAATGCAGTTTATCTACAGACCTCTCCTGGCATGTGTTACCAGAGACTCAAGCAGAGGTGCAGAGAAGAGGAAAAAGTCATTCCCATGGTAAGGAGAAGACCTTTTCATTTTTTGGAAGGTTACAACTTGATTGGTTGGAAGAAGAATCGAAAGCCTTCAGTCCCCCTAACAAGACAGAGGTCATAAGCATCCAGTGGGACAGGAGATCAAATGTCAACGTATACATCATGTCATCACAGAGATGATGGGAGTTGAAGTCCACACATCTTAAAAGTTGCTGATGTTAAACACTACTCAACACTACTCAATTAAAAGATTACAATTGCACTTCTCCATTTCAACCAGTTTTATTAATTTTTCAATTTTTACATCCAAGTAATTAGGAAGCAGCGTGGTGATAGGGTAATCAATAGTCCAATAACAGAGTCATTCATATATATATATCTCAGGTTACATCATTAAAGGTTCCCTCTCTATTTCCCTTAATTATTACATCATATTCAATTTAATACATTTCTAGGTAGAGCTCAATCAATCAAGGCATTTATCAATAAATTTTTAGTTATACATATCCACGTCCTGTTTTTAAGTTTTACTTAATTCCAATTACCATGTTCCAATTTAGCCTTTAATAACATAATGTTTAAACTTCGGGTAATTTCCTAATTTCCCTCATTTCATTACAAGATAATTATCATGGCTAAAATGCACATATTGTTCCAAAATTTACATTCTTACCTTATTTCACAAATATATTCTATTTCTCATCCTAATAGCTCCTCATTTACTAATAAAATATCTTTCATTGTCACAAACCCATTTCCATATAACAGTTCAAAGCTATAATCTAATAGCTAATTTTCATTTCCATTATAAATCTAAATCCTAAGTATTAAATCAATATCTCTAAAAATCTCCTTAACCTACTTCTGACTGGAGAGGTGTTGGATGCTCAGTAACTGGGATGGGGAAACGGCTGTCCTGGATAAACAAGGTCCAGGGTCACTCCCCAGCCCCCCCCCCCAAATCTGATTGTCCTGTTGCAACTTACATCAGATATTTGGCTGTTATTGCAACTATCCTACCTTTCGCTTCTACAAAACACAAATCGTGATCAATCAAAAGTATTTTTGCTTCTGTTAAAAACTAAAACTGATCATCCTCCTTTTTACTTCTCTTCTGGACAGGAGTATTTAGAAGCTATTCATCAGCTTTATGAAGACTGGCTCATTAAACAAACATTGTTCAAAGTCCCTTCTCCGGTACTCGTAAGTATATATATTCATGATTATTTTGAAAGATGGTTTGGCCCAAACAGGAAAAGGGTATCTGAAAGAATGCATAACTTTTATGATGTTTGTAAAAAAAAAAGTCTCGCTCTCCATCCTGTCATGTCTCAATATTAACTACTTCAAAAGCTTTTTCGACTTATTATAAACTTTCCACAAGAGGGAAGGACACTTTAATAGCATTGTGGCAGATATCAGCGTGGATTTCTGCAACTTGGGAAGTATGACAAGATGGAGAATTTGACCGTTTCTTCTTAAGAGGACCAAGCAATTGATCCCTGTGGATGTGCCTGTTTTGGCTTATTGTTAATGGTTTGAAATCTTCCTGACTTACTTCTCTGTCCTTTAGTTGAGTCCCAAACTAGCATAGTCTGTGCGGTCCTGGATCTTTCCCAGTTTACCCCTTATTCTTCCCTCTGCTGACTGGTCTTCAGGAGTGTTGATGGTTCAAACTGCTCATGCTAAACTTCCAGGCTGTTCGCGGAGAAACATCCCATTATAAGAATTATTTGATTGCAATTCATGTTGTTTGTGCTAGATTTATTTGTGCAATCAATCACCTCACATTTGAACTCTTTTCTATGTAGCTCCTACTCTTCCGTTGTCTTCCTCGTTAAACTTCATTAGGGGCCCGATCTGCTCAGTTTTAAAAAAGCCATTTAAGTCATTTCCAGGACTTTTATAACGCTTGAAGATCTATTGTTGTTGGTTGCCACACCAGATGCTGATGTGGTAGTTCTGGAGTTAGACAGAAGTGTAAAAATTGACCTGTGCACACCTGTGTGTTGCAATATTATGCCTGTATAAAATTACTACAAAAATACTATTAATTGAGGAGATCACATATGTTGGCTGGGCTTTACATATTACCATGTTTAGCACAATTTATTATATGAACTATATGCCTAATGCTGGGAAAGATTGAGGGCAATAGAAGAATGGGACGACAGAGAATGAGGTGGCTGGACGGAGTCACTGAAGCAGGAGGCGTGAGCTTAAATGGACTCCAGAAGATGGTAGAGGACAGGAAGGCCTGGAGAAACGTTGTCCATGGGGACACGACTTTGCAACTAACAACAAATAATTGATTGTGTTTACGTGTTATACTAAAACCAAGCAGCATTGTTAAGCCAATGGTTCTAATTGAATGAGTGTGAATGAGTGGTCTGTTAGCCCACGTAGTCTGCTTGCTTGAACAAAAGGGAAAGAGTTGCATGCCATCTGAACAAAGAATGCCAAGAATACATATGCCAAACACGCCGGGGTATGTAAACCAAGAACAAATCCTAAATTAGTTCAAGCTCATGAACGTCGGCTTGTTTAACACACAGTCTCAATTCCAGACTTAGATACTGTCTCATCTGTAGATTTTTTTTTTCCAGAGACGTGCTTCAGCATTTGATCATTTGAGTCTTTTTAAGGTGCTACAGGCCGACGATGACCTGCAGGAAATGATGGAGAAATACGAAGAGAATCAGGACCAAATCTTAATGTTGGACAACACCCAACGCCGTCTGTAGAATTAGCTGCCTTACTATGGACAAGACGCTGTTGCCCGAAACAAGAAGTACACAGTTGGTAGCCTAAGCCTAGAGAGAGCTGAAGATGGGTTCCCGCAAGCAGCTTGAATTGGTGGGCTTGGAAACTTGAAGGCATCCTGAGAAGCTTTACAAAGTGGTCCAAGTGCTGGAACTGCAGAATTGCTGAGAAGGTTACACCATTTCTATGCAGGATGACCCACCCAGAACCAGACTGCAATTTAGTCTTGGGAAGAATTGGATTCTGCGCTCTTCTCTGTTTTTGGACTGTTCCCTTGAAGAGTAAGCACCCACATATAAGGTGTGGCTAATACTTCTCTTTCAGCAGCCCTTCTGCTTTTTTTTAGCTTGCCCTTAACGCTGCTAGTGAGACCCGAGCGATTCAGAAATGATGGAGAAATAGGAAGAGAATCGGAATGAAATGCGTAGCTATTGACTTCATTCTTTCTGCTCCCAGCAGATGCTGCTCTTTGGAGTTAGCAAACGTACAGCTTGCTTTCTGAACGGGCCTGCCTCAAATACAATCACATTTAAATCTTATTTTTTTTTAAAGAATTTTAATAGAAGGCGACAAAGAAAACAATTGGCCAATGCTAGTAGGTACTTATTGCATTTGTGTTAATACTTTTAAGTATACGAAAAAGCTTATACAATATGACAGCGGACTGGCAGTCTTGGTGTTGACTGGGGGCATCAGTGTCGGCGGGAGGGGGGGAATAGTTTTGTGAGTGCAACCTAATCCCATACATGTGCAAAGTGAGCTCTTTGTGCTTGTCCGCCATTTGCTCAGCCCGATTCCCAATGGGCGGCAGTCAGTATCCGTCCGTGGCATCGCCCCGATCCCTGGGACCTGGGGATCATTGCAATATGGAATAGTCCAGTTATTTTCCGTCGAGGAACACATAAATTGTATAAATTGTATAAAACAAGCAAAGCAAAAAACAGAGATGGACTGTGTTGTGTTGTGTTGTCACCCAAAGCTGGGTTGTTGTCAGAATTCATTCCAGGAGCCCACTTTGGATGGCCCTGATCCGCTCTTGAGACCAGCCAAGGCAACCCAACCAGAACGCAGATCCTTTTGCCTCTCATTCTTCCTATCTTTCAGGGGCAGATAGATCCCAGGGGTCTTCACACTGAGCTTTTAGGCAGCTCAAGCCCAGTCAGCACAAAATCTATTTGCTGACCCCAGTGTCTGAATCGTGCCCGTGGCCACGTCTGGGCGGGATGAGAGTGAATATGGTCCAACTTTCACCCTTGGTTTGAGAGTTCCGGTTTATATTCCCTACAAGTCAGTTCATTTAGAATTATTTATTATAGAGCAGTGTTTCTCAACCTTGACCATTTTAAGGCATGTGGACTTCAACTCCCAGAATTCCACAGCCAGCATTGCTGGCTGTGGAATTCTGGGAGTTGAAGTCCACATGCCTTAAAATGGTCAAGGTTGAGAAACACTGTTATAGAGTTTTGTATTTGATAATTAAGAGTTTGGGTTGAAGGAAACAGTCATGCTGGATCAGTGACTTACGTGAGATGTAGAGAAATGATGGAGTACAAGCCTAATGTTTTGATCTGCCTTTAACCGTTAACCTAGTTTTGCTCAACTTCTTGCAGAAAAGTATACAAACGGTTATATCAAATGACTGTGGAATTTTCTATTTGGCATGTTTTAGAAAGAAACTCTTGGTTAGAGTTTACCAGGGTAAGAACAACAGATGTGATTCCAAGATATTTATCATTCCTTTCCTTACTGCTTTATTAAAAATGCATCATGGGTTATTGTCTCATATTCTTAGTCCAAATAGAATTATTGTCAACCTGTTAGCTTATTCTCCCTGGAACACAGAATTCTAAGATGGAAGATTGCATCTTTTATTTAAATTGTCGTGTTATTGGTAGAAAATTAAGTGTGATTTAGTTACTCTCTAATTGAGCTGCATAGCGCTGCAAAGAAAAATATAACTGTACATTAAAAACCTTTAATATATTAACAGTGATTGTCAGTGATTTGATCTATGTCAAGACACAACGGGAACAGTTTTCCTACCTAATGTTAAATACGGTAATCGTAAAATCTTTTCAGTCTCCATAGTTGGCCTCGCTCTGGTTGTGAAAGTGAAAGCAATTTTGAAATAACTTTTTTAAGATTCACAAAACGATCTTTTAGGACTGGATAGGGAAAAAATGCACCTGGTTGTGGACTCTTCACACAAGCCTACAGAAAGACTTTGATATTGTACGTTCAGTACAAACACGGAAAGAGAAAACTATGCTACTCCTGCAGGATGTTCTTCCAACTTTTGTGTAATGAGTTGTGTCTGTGTGTGTACATCTTTGTACATGCCCTCAAGTCAATGTTGAGTCCTGGATTTGCCTCTGCAGTTTTCTTGGCAAAGTTTTTCAGAAATGGTTTGCCATTGCTTCCTTCCTAGGGCTAAGAGAGAGTGACTGGCCCAAGGTCACCCAGCTGACTTCATGCCTAAGACTGGGCTAGAAGTCCCCCTCTCCCGGTTCCTAGCCTGGTGCCTTAAACCAGGGCTTTTCAACCAGTGGTACGGGTACCACCTGTGGTACATTGGCACCTGGCAGGTGGTACGCGACCATCCTAGAAAAGTGGTAGCGGGGGAGGGGAATGAGCTGAACCGGTGGCAGCACCGCACAAGCCTGAGAGAGAGACGGCTGGAGCTGCAGGGCTGTCAGGGCTCAGAGGAAGCGCCAGGATCAGTGCCAGGTTCCAACTGGAGCTCGGCTCTGATCCTGGCGCTTCTGCTGAGCCCAGAAGTGCCGATCAGCTGGAAAGCGGCACTGATCCTGGCGCTTCTGCTGAGCCCAGAAGAAGCGCCGATCGGCTGGAATGTTGCAGCATCTCCAGGTCTTGTGATTTACATTCATATGCTTGGCAACTGATTCATATTTATGACGGTCACAGTGTCCCAGGGTCTTGTGAAGTGACCAAAACCTGCTGCAACCACCCAGCAGACGGGGAGAATAAAAACCAAACACCCCCACCCCACCCCGCTGCCAATCCTCAACAGAAATGCTCACAACAATGAAAACCTCGGACAGGAGGAAGAGCACGGCCGGGTGGGCAGGCAGGTATCTTGCTCGGCTGTGCCTTGGGGGGCACCTTTTTCAGTGCCATTGTAACTTTGAACAGTCACTAAGCGAACTGTTGTAAGTCGAGGACTACCTGTACTTTATCACTTTTTTCCTTTTTTTTTATGGGTCATCAAGTTTTTGACACCTTGCTAGGCGACTGGTGGTACTCGGATGTTGCCATATCCTAAAAGTGGTACAATGGGTGAAAAGGTTGAAAAGCCCTGCCTTAAACCACTACACCAAACTGGCTTGGTTTGTTTAAGCAGCCCCAAGAAAAGAAGATCGCTTACAATTTGGAATGGGACGGTAGGATGTTACAAAGACGAATCAAGAATATTTTTTTTTAATTCCAGAAAGAGTAATTTTCAAGCAGAACAAATATATTCCAAAGCAATTCTACCTTGGCTTTTTAGGCATTACATATAAGCAATCCATATTCTGAGCCTCATTATTACATTTTTGAATAGATTTTATGAATTCTAGTTGTCTGACCATGGATAGGACAAACTGTTTATCCACAAGCCTGGAAGAAGCCAAATGAGAGAAGAAAATCAAAAGGAGATAGAAGAAATTTAGCATCGCCCAACATACTTGGGATCCAAATGGCTTTTCCATGTGGGATTCAAAAGAAATTATTTTTCCCTCATTTTCATGGTGTTTTTTTTGTTAGAACAAACAACATACTAGACTTTAGAACAAACAACATACTAGAATTTAAATGCTTCCCCTTTCAAATTTCCTGTTGAGTCCAAAATGCTTTCTTAAAAAAAATAATCATACCAACATTCTTGAATTGTTTTCTATTAAATTATTTTTGTTATATTTCAGTATAGAAGCAGCTTGCATTTGCCATCTTGTCTAATCAACCTGCTATATTGCAAAGAATCTAACAGAAAGATGCAACAATGAACCAATCAAGAGCAAATTTGGAGCTAAGCAAACCATTTGATATTCTGTTTCTGGGTATATTTCCTGTGTTAAAAGCAATCGTATTTAACATTTTAACACGATTCATGTGTTTATGGAACAGCCTATTGTGGACTGACAGCATTCAGGATCCAGATAACTCAGTAACTTTTTTATAGAGGTAGTTCTTGTTTAGCGTCTGCCTAAGACAGAGACCATTCACAGTCGTGAAAAAGTAGCACATTTATGAACTCCAGGTTTGTAAAGCAAAGGAAAGCTGAAGTAAGATCATAAGGAATGGTAGTTTCTTTGGATGACTGCTTAACAACCAAGTTGCTGATTCCAACTCTCTTTGCTAAGTGAGGACTACCTGTAATCGTGTATTTTAAAGTTTACAATTAACATTTCTTTTAATTAAATCTGAACTGCGTGGAAAGAACATAAAACGCTCAGAGAAACTTCACCAAAACATTCCTTATCTGTACAGTTTCTTAGTCCTAGTTCTTTATCCTGGACAACTTTCAGGCACTTAGGAATGGCATAAAAGAGGAGAAAAGGGGCACTTGTGTTCTCCCCAACGTAGGTACCCTTCTCTAGCATGTCTGCCAACATTTAAGTCATGTGCAGAGAGAAGGAGATCCAGAGGAGACGTTGGAATTGCATAAGTGGATGGAAAAGGCCATTGGAAATTGAAGGAATGTGACTTCCCCCCCTCCCCCCAGCCCTTAAAAGTATAATGTTCTTTCAGTGATCTCACATCTCATGAGATCTTAGCCGAGCACATCTGAAGTCCTATGAAACATCCCATGATCATCTCTTGCAAGATTTTACCCCTTGATGAGAAGCATGTGGATCTGGTAGACACCCCAATGTTGTTTAAGAGACCACGTGACCAATCTTGTTGTAGCTTCAACTCAGTAAATTCGGACTTAGTAGTCCCAAAGCTCCCAGGGACTTATTTTTCAGTTATCTTGGTTAATAACGTAACCTTCTAGGCTAGATTCGTTCATAGGCACTATATGAGTATCCACCAAACTGGGATGGAGGGGATAGCTCTCTTGTCTATGCCGAATACGTGCTGGAATGTCACCACAGTACTGAGCCTCGGTGGGAATGGGACAGGTTAAAATGGGGACATCTAGAGGTCTGCCGTAACCTGGACCAAGTGTGGGGTTTCTGCACCCAGCGATATTGTTGAAGCGATCTGATGAATAAAGGTCCACGTTGTAATTGTCTCTATAGGATAGGTTTGCCGATGTCCTCTCAGGATGATAAAGTTCTTCAGAAACTCTGTGGCTCCTTGCAGACTCTGGCCGTGCTGTTTCTTCCACAGGATACATTAACTTCTCTACGTAGTCTTCCTTGTTCTTCGGCTTATCTAACATCAAGGCCAAGTCATTGGAGGAGTCACATGACTGCCGCACCATGCTGCCTTTCAGTTCTTTGGGTTCATCAACTGTGTCTGACCCATGACTACTCAGACGCTTCACTGCATCACAGATCTTTGGTTCGGCCGTGGTTTGACAAGAGTCTTGAGTCTGGTAATCATACGGAGCTTTGCTTACCATAGTAGAATCATTGAGGATGGCTAAGGCTTGAGGACCACTTTCATTAGAAGGCAGAAGAGGGAGGGATTCTCCTCCACAGGTTG